TAAATCTGATTTGGTTTGGATGTCTGTTTAGGTTACAAACCATCCCTCTTTAGGTAACAGAGATATGCAGGTCAAGGCTATCTCAAAGGTCATGTCCCCCTTTACTTTGTTAAACATACACTGATCAGCCACAACATTAAAAAAGCACTTGCCTAATATTGTGTATGTCCCACTCATGCTGCCAAAACAGCTCTGATGCCTTGAGGCATGGACTCCATAAAACCTCTGAACATGTCCTATGGTATCTGGCACCAAGACATTAGCAGCAGATCCTTTAAGTCCTGCAAGTGGCAAGGTGGGTCTCCATGGATTGGAATTAAATGTCCGAGCACATCCCACAGATGCTCAATTGGATTGAGATCTGGGAATTTGAAAGCAAAGGAAACACCCTGAATTCTTTGTCATGTTCCTCAAACCATTTCTTAGGGTGAATTATCCTGTAGAAGGAGGACACTGTCATCAGGAAACACCATTGCCATGAAGTGCCAGGACCTAAGGTTTCCCAGCAGAGTATTTCCCAGAGCATAACACTGCATCTGCCGACCTACCTTCTTTCCATAGTGAATCCTACTGCCATCATTTCCCCAGGTAAATTACACATAATTATCATCTTAAAGAAAATGTGGTTCATCAGACCTGGCACCCTTCTTCCATTGCTCCATGGTCCAGTTTCGATGCTCACAACCCCATTGAAAGTGCTTTCCATAGTGGACAGAGATCATCATACGTATTCTGACCGGTGTGAGGTTACGCAACCACATATACAGCAAACTGCAATGCACTTTGTGTTTTGACACCTTTCTACTACCTTTCAATTTGAGCTACAGAAGCTCTTCTGTGTGATCAGACCAGACAGGCTAGCCTTTGCACCCCACATGCATTAATTAGCCTTGGGTGCCAATGAACCTGATGTAAAACGTTTGGTAAGTATTAATTACTGCATATGAAGAACATCCCACAAGAATTTAGGTGAATGGATGCATGGTTTTGAAGATGCTCTGACAAAGTCGTCTAGGCATTACTATTTGGCCCCTGTCAAAGTCACTCAGATCTTTTCACCTGCCCTTTTTTTCTGCTTCCAACACATGAAATTCAAAAACTGACTACAGATGCTCCTCACTTACTGACCGGGTTCTGCTCTTACGAGCTGGTCGTAAAACAAATTGGTTGGTAAGTGAGACGCATGCGCACCAGTGCAGGTCTATGTTTGGGGAAATTTCCCCGAACATAGACAAGTGCAGCAGAGCAGGCAATCCCTCAAATCTATGTTTATGGAACATTCACCGAACATATATTAGAGGGATTCCCTGCTCTGGTGCGCAGAACGTAGACATATGCACCATAGCAGGGAATCCCTCTAATCTATGTCCAGTGAAAATTCCCCGAACATTCACCAGCTCACTAACATGGGGAATCCCTTGAATCCCCATGCTAGAGAGCTGGCTGTAAGTACGAGCCATTGCAAAACACATAGGTTGCATAGTGAGGACCACCTGCATTCATGCCAATGCAACTATATAAGCAATGTTATTCACTTCACATGTCACTGGTTTTAATGTTGTGGCTGATCAGTGTACTTTCCAAGTGGGGACCAATTTCTTTATAGTTTTTTTGATTTAAAAAAAAGTTACACCACAACCTATTTTGTTCTCCAAGCTCACCAGCCATGCCAAGGCTAACCTCTTAGTTGAGTTCTACACTCACAATTCACCTTGCGTTTTCAGCTAAAAAACAACATCTCTAGGGATAGTCTTATGAACCCCTACACATGTATTAACCCTTAATAGAGTTAATAATGATTTAAATGAGCATCCTAGGGATTTTTAATAGTTTGATATAGTGTGTTAAATGTTTGATGTTATTAGGAAGGTAAGGTACCTCTCTAGTGAAAATGGACCGTACAGGCTTAGACAGGGTCAAGTTAAAATTTAGTAAAAGTTTGATTGGTATTATCAAGGGAATTAAGGTCCTTCTCTAGTGACAATAGTCAGTACAGGCTTAGAGATGATCAAAGTTTCTAATTTCTTCATAGCAAAGTGCCTATTTTATTAACTGTTTTATTGAGAAAAAAACCATTCTGATCTGACTAGGACTTACCAAAGTCATCAAGGAAGGCCTTTTAATGAGTTGCCCAGCTTATCTCTGTGAATGTATGTGTTTCAGATAAAGTAGCAATGCTTATCAAATATCCTTTCCTTATAAGCAATCAAAACCATTTTCAATAAAAGTATTTCTTTAAATACTTTTGGTTGTTCTTTTATGATAGGATCCCTCAGCGCAGGTGTATTCAGTCTCCAGGGAGAATTTAATTTATGAACATAAAGAGCAATATCTGCATAGTCCAATCACAATATATAATATATTTTAAGCCTCTTTACCTTGTGCATATCCTGAATGTTGGTAAGATACATATCAATCTTTAAGTAGTTAACATGCCAAGCAAAGAGAAATGTATAGAATAAGATGTCTGGATTATGCAGTCTCTGCACAACTGGTAGACCCACCTTTTGCTTGAACCGGAAGAAGGTAGGAGAACTGAAAACCGTGCAGAGTAGTTCTTGATATTCAAGCAATTTCTTGCCACTTTCTTGTTTGGAGTCATGCTTCAGTAGCCCCTTCTTCTTTTATTTGTGTATGTATGTAGGGACATGGTTATCCCACTTAATTTAAAGTGGGATAGCTTTTTCTCAGTCAACCTTAATCCACTTTGACATTTGCAGCCCACTTAAACAATAATATTGTACACTTCTAGCATTAAATTGTTGATATTATTACACTAATTATGTGGTGTTGTCAGCAGGAGGTGTGCAAATGTAGACAATAGACTTGTGTTCTCCAACCCAGTCCTCATGGACCACCAACAGTCTAGGATTTATGTATTTCCCTATTTTATTCCAATGAAGATACTGACAAAATCTGGACTGTTGGTGGTCCACGAGGACTGGGTTGGAGAACACTGCAATAGACATATCACTACTGACTACTCGTGTATTCTTCATGTTGTGGTGTTATACAAGATTGTTAACACCCAAATAAGCCTCTGGTCCACAATATATAATGAATTGAAGCTGCCATTGCTATCCTGGTCCAGCTTAAGTCTAGGTTATAACTGTATGAATAGTACAATCTCTAAACATAAGGACAAAATGAACATTTAATTTGTCTTGATCTCTTTATAATGAAATTAAAATTGTGATATAAAATGGCTGCATGAATACTTTGTTAAATATGGAACAACTGTGCTATTGATTGAGAACGGGGATGGAATATCTTTAGAAAATAAAAAACTATTTTAAATAGGGTGGATTCCGAGAAGAATGTGTTTAATGGGTAAGATATAAATGGAAAACAATAATATTGTACACTTCTAGCATTAAATTGTTGATATTATTACACTAATTATGTGGTGTTGTCAGCAGGAGGTGTGCAAATGTAGACAATAGACTTGTGTTCTCCAACCCAGTCCTCATGGACCACCAACAGTCTAGGATTTATGTATTTCCCTATTTTATTCCAATGAAGATACTGACAAAACACCCTGTTGGTGGTCCACGAGGACTGGGTTGGAGAACACTGCAATAGACATATCACTACTGACTACTCGTGTATTCTTCATGTTCTGGTGTTATACAAGATTGTTAACACCCAAATAAGCCTCTGGTCGACAATATATAATGAATTGAAGCTGCCATTGCTCTCCTGGTCCAGCTTAAGTCTAGGTTATAACTGTACGCATAGTACAATCTTTAAACATAAGGACAAAATGAACATTTAATTTGTCTTGATCTCTTGATTGAGAACGGGGATGGAATATCTTTAGAAATTAAAAACTATTTTAAATAGGGTGGATTCCCAGAAGAATGTGTTTAATGGGTAAGATATAAATGGAAAACCTTGAGTGCCTCTATGCACAAAAAGAAAGATTATTCCAAAAAGCATTATTGGTGAATGATGTATGCATACTTTTAGATCAATTTATCATGGGCAGTACAGTATATTTCAGGGTTACACTTATATGTGATGTCAACCGAATTCAAATATTTTTTTTAATCTAATTTAAAAATAGACTGGGTTAATTCTGGGAAATATTTTTGTTATTTAATTTATTGATGTAATTATGAGTCTTTGTAAGAGTAGAGACAATTTCTGCTGTTGCATTTTAAAAGTAATTAAAATAAATATAAACACAGTTTATTATATAAAATATATAGTCAGCAAATGAGAATCGTAAAACTATGAAAATAATGATCGTCTATAAAACCGTACAAAAATGTATGTACAGAGTGATGAAAATATCAAGAATGACCTGAAAATCTTATTTGTTTTTTTATAAAAATGTTTATCACAAACCATCTTTGTGTTGTTCGTGCTTTTTACATGTGTTAATGGAAAAACATATTTTTTTATATTGATGTTAACCCATTAATGATGGATGCAATTGTCCAAGTTCTGAATCAAAACAAAATCTAGAATTTGAGCTATATGTCTGTTCAACCATAATATACCTCTTTTATATTAAGTGCAACCACACTGATTATATATCATTTTGTTCAAGAGAAATAGGGCTTTCATTTTGCACCAAACTAATATACATGGAATACCATTTAATATGAATAAAAGCTAAAATAAAAAAGTGAGAAATTTAAGAAAGTTCTGCATGGCAATTTAACTGACTGTATGTCAGTTACTGTGTGTGTATAGGTAAGTGATTATATGTGTGTGTGTATGTATCTGTGATTGTGTGTATGTGTATATCTTTGGTTATGTGTATATGCCCAGACATGTGTATGTGTTTCATTGATTCCTCATTTGGTATCCTTAAATATGGCAATCCCACATAAAGATAGCAAATACGGGAGTTATCTACAAAAAAAGCTTCAAAATTAAGAAAAGGGCTTTTGAAGTTGTATTATATAAATTAATTTCCATTATAGATTTAATGTGTAGCCCAAAACAATTCATCTTTGCTTAGTGTGGCCAAAAGGTTGGACAACCATGGTCTAGATGGTACATTTAACAATATGAATTATGATTAATTTTAGTACTAAATGCTCCAGTATTCTACTATGCCAGATGAAGGAATGTCTTTTTGTGCTTTTAGAGTTTAGGGGGTACTTGCTTTCCATTAGTTCCCCTTAAATCTAAGTCCCCTATTGCTATATCTCCCATTGAGAGAAATGTTTCAGAAAGTAACAGAAATGATCAAGTCTCTTCTTCCTTCATACTAAAATCCCCTCTTGTCCTGACACCTGACATGTTGATATTGGTTGTTTCCTGTGAAATCTAGAATTGAACCAATTTATTTCATGCCTTTATCACTGTTATCAATGTATTTTTTAATTGCATAAATTAAATAAATTGTCTAAATGAGACTGCAATTTAGTAGATTTCCAATAAAGCTGTCCTATTTTCAAACCTAACAAATTATTACTCATTATTTCTCTAAAAAAACAAACTGGAAACAGTATAATCTATGTATCTTAATGAACATTAAATAACTCTAGATTTGCTGAGTTTCATGAAACAGTATAATCTATGTATCTTAATGAACATTAAATAACTCTAGATTTGCTGAGTTTATCAAAAAATATTGATAAAACCATTTTATTATGAAAAGAAGTACTATACAATGTGCATAAAACCTTTGACAATGTTGTTTTCTCATTTACATTTTAACTATAAAACAGCATATTTTTCTTTTTTTTGTACAATTATTTTTTTGTGATGTAAAAATTCAATCTTTCATTGCTTTTTAATAAAGTTTCCAAATTTTTGCATGAATCTTCCAAATTTATTTTCACTTGGCAGAACCACGTTATAATTAGCTGAAGAATTGTAATTTGGCATGTGATTTGGTCTATTATAATTGTTTCCAATAGGCTTGTTATTAAAGTCTGACATATGAGCATTGCTGTTGGGCATAGTATGTGGAGCTGTGTTCTCAGTCTTACAAAATGGTTCAAAACGACTATAAATTCGTCGTTCACTTAAGCGAGTACGACTAAGATCCTCTTGAGGCTTTGGATAGTCTGTTACAGGCTGCCCATACATATCTCTGCGCATGACCTCTTTTTGCTGCATCTCTCTGTGTTGTGAGTGCCTTAAATGCATTTCTCTTTGTAGCATTGGGGGCATTTCCCTCTGTGCAGCCTCTTTTTGAAGCCTTAATTGTAAATCCCTGCGCTGGATTGCAGGAGAGAGTGTTCTCCCATATTGAAATTTATGCACATATTGTTTTGCCTCTTGAAACTGATCTGGTTCTGTATTAAATCGTGGAGCAGATGCATCTCCTATATTCTGAAGAAATTTGTTTTCAACAACAGTTGATGCAGGAGAAGAATGGGATTTAGCAGCTTCCTCGGTAACGGGCACTGAGGATACATCATTACCAGTGTTTTCTTTGCTTTTATTCAGACTGACTTGAGAAGTAGACAATGTCTTTTCTCGTCTTGGTAAAGTATCATTTTTTGAGTCAGATTTTTTATTATTTTCCTGAGGGTCCTCTTCTGAAATTAAGGTATCAGAACTGCTGCACATTCTATAAAAAGCAGGTGTTTTATTTTTAGACAGGGTCTCTTTTTTCTCAGGTGTAAGACTAAGTAGAGATTTCAGTTTTTTGGATCCCTTTTTAAGAAAACTGGGAGAACTTTTGTTTTCTTTTTTGCTTGTACCATCTTTGCCGTTGTCTTCATGGTGGTTTTCAATAAGAGTTTCTGTAGATAATGCAGCAGTAACAACAGAATTGCATGGTTTATCATTTGTGTTTTCTTCTGAATTGTTTACGTTGTTTTCTAACCTCTGGCTGCTGCTACTGTTGGAAATATTTTGATGCACTGGATTTTCAGTTTGTCGCCTAACTAATGTATTGTATATATAATTATGCGGTATTACAGAGCTATTTTGACCAACATTTACCTTCCTATTCTCGAAGATAGGCAAACTACGTCTTTTTAGAATGCTTTCACTTTGCTGTTTTCTAACACTGTCAGATTGTCTGCTTGTGCATAAGGTTGTGTACAAGTAACTTGATGGTGTTGGATTAGTGTTATAATTCAAACCAGCTCTTGGGCTTTCAGGAACTTGTAGACTATGCCTCTTCAGTATCTCTTGCTGATGTAAGTGTTGTGTGTCATAGCTGAATGCATTGCTGTCTTTACACTCTGACAATCTACTTTGTGGTGTAAATGCCTTTGGTGTGAGACTTCCCTGAGAATCAACTATGGTAGAATTGGAATGAGAAGAGCTGGATTTGCAGCTGTTAGCTTCATTTTGTTCTGGATATGTTGGCTTGTATAGTATTGATGAGCGTAGTCGTGATTGGTTGTACAGAGAATTCTCTGCAATACTTCCATTCCCCTCATTTCCTTCATATCTGTCTTTAAGATTTTCTTGTGTATCTGGGGTAATATCTGCCTGGTCATTTAAGTAAGACTCAATTCTCCAGTTACGAAGAAAGGACTTTGTGGTGTGCTCCAATGTTGGCATCTTTTGCTGTATTGATCTTACATGATTATCTGTTCCATGGAATGATCTTCGTACATTTGAATTCCTTTCTGGAAGATTTGGCACCTGTCGTTGTGATAACCTATTGGCAAAACTTTGTGTGGAGCCATTATAATTATAATTACTTGAATAACCACCTCTGGATAATGACCCAATGCTAGAAACATCCACCTGTCGGTTCCAGTTAGTCTGTGGATTGTTAATTCTGTTGTTCATGCCTCTGTTAAGCAACATGTAGGTAGATGACTCTGGCTTTTCCCCTGCAGCATAACTATGTCTCTTCCAGTTGTCATGTCGTTCAAATTGCTGAAAGTGATTAATTTTATTTTGAACATTGAAACCTAACTGGTGATGTGGTCTATAAGATGCATTCCTTATGCCATATTTATCATCTTCATTGTTGGTAAATCTACTTCTTGTTAGGTAGGATGAGTCCAAAGTGGGCATTTGATCTTTTCTTCCAAAAAGACTTCTTTGACTAGAGGCAGACAATATAGATGATCTTGAATTTTGATATGAACTATATTCCCATGGGGTTTTTCTATGTGTTCCAATAATTAATTCTTCAGGGCCAAACACGGAGGGAATGCAAGAACGAGCATACAGTGTTCTGAATTCTTCATCAAAAGATTCCACAAGTTTTCCAGTAATAACTTGAACCATACTCAAGTGCACCTTCTCATATGACCACATAAAGCTAAAAAACACAATCGAACATAGTTCAGATATAAAGAAAGAGGATAAAAATATTATATTTACAGGGCTACTCACAAACATGAGAATTCAAAGTGAATTTCAAATTTAAAGCCAAAGAAGCTGAAATGGAAGTGTAGCTGACTTAGATAATGTCTCTGCTTTGGTTATTTTTACCTTAAACTTGAAATTCACTTTGCAATCTTACTTGTGAATAAACCAGTTAGTATCATTAATGTGTAATTTGCATTTTATAGCAGTAAGATTATGTTAAATTTTTACCACAGTCAACATATAGGGCTTGTTTCAAATGTTGTCACTACTTTTTCCAAATAACCAATACTTGCTAAAGTACCCGTTGCTGTACTAAGTGAGTAGCTGCTGTTTAATAACTGCAAAAATTCTGCAAAAGTAAAAGTAAGGTATGTTACTGGCTGCCACTGTTGTGATTCAAGCCAGTAGTTTTAAGTAGCTGCAAACTGCTCCCATTATTCTGTATAGCAGCTGCTTATTGCAACGTGTTTCTGATTGATTCCCAATTTTGACACTGGCTGCATTTAAAGCTCAAATCTTAACACCAACCCCTTGCTTGGTGCAGAGAAACTAAAAACTAATCTAATTCTATTGGACAGAATGTTAGCTAGCTATAGGGCCTCAAAGTACATATCAAAAAGCAATACAATCAAAGACAGATTAGACAAAAGCTATGAAAACACAAAAGTATTCTTTATATAAGCAAATTATATGTGTCATTTAAATGGATGATCCTCAACATAAATTAATTTTAAAAGCTGCATAGATATGTATCTAGTATAACACAGACTCACAGTCACTGAGCTCTACTAAAAATTTGAGTTCGAGTTGTAACCACTCACTCATACTTTTTACTCTTTTACTCTTATAATGGTTTGCATAAAATTATTAGATTCAAGCTTTCACAAAAATGATATAACTATTTCTATGACTTCATAATTCAATTGGAAATGCAATTGCTTACCGTAATAGGTCCCTAGATATGGGGAAAAATGAGATGCAAAATAAAATCTGGAGAATGGCAAGCGAGAGATACAAAATAAATGCATATTCTCATTAAACATTGTACACAGGAAATAACCGTGTCATAAAGGGGTTCTGGCTATATTGAGTACTATAATTTTGTATAAATTAGAATTTATGAATCTTACCTGTAAGTACCATAAAGAACCTTCTCACAATCGACAAGTAGAAATTTTTGTTCCATTTGTCCACAGAATTTAGCACCTGATTTTGACAAATATTCCTGGCCTTGAACAGTGCGCACCCTCATATTCTGTAAAAGAAAAATATATGCTACATTTTTAAATGACTTTGTATGATTTCACCTGACATAATACCCTTTAAACTGAATAAAATGGGGCTATAGTGTTAGATCAATTGGAAATCTGATATTTGGAAATGTATCTCCAAATAATATATCAGAGATGAACCATAAACAAAATGTATGTTTAAAGCATTGGTTGTAGAGTTATGTTTCCAACATGATACTGATATTTATTTACTCAATAATTCTCGTATTGCAAGTGGAAAACATGCATCATGTCACAGCTGTTACATAAGCATTCCCGAGAACATTGACAATGAACAAGAGATTAAGAAATTCTGCTTGTGACCATATATCAAGTTCCTAAAGATCACAGTTTCCAGGTAAAAACAGACTTACATCCTTCAGAGATGAACACCTCCATGACTGGTGAGAAAACTTGAGTTTCCAGATATCGATATGAATTATAATGCAACGAGTCAGCACTGGTTACTGGTTGGAGATCTGTCAACTTGCTAGCAAATGCAACTCTGTAGCCATCATGACCATTAGTGATAAATAAGGGTACAGATTTTTAAATATAACATGTTTCAGTAATGAATATCACACTAAATAAATGTTATACTAATGAGGAATAAACAAAATGTCCATAACCTGAATGGTTGCCTTTTCTAATCTCTTCATCTTCTACTGCTGGAAGTATCAAAATTTAAATCAATTGATATTTGTTCCTATTTTATAAATGTTCTAGAGCATTGCCCTTTTATTTTTCAAGTCAAAACGCTAATAACAATATTCATCTTAGGAGTTAGTTGTTTCGTCATTAAACAACTAAATTGTGATGAGTTACATAATGATTTGCAAACTATAAGATAAAGCAGTCCAGCAGGAAAGCAGATTTACTTATTTTTTTAACGCTTCTGTTTTGGTTAAAAGTATACATATTAGTTTTCAAGGTATAACCAACATATAGTTTAGTGAGTAGACCTCTAATAACTGTATCCAAACCTGTGATGAATTATGTGTTATGTTTCAGGTTAATGACAATTAGGGTAGCAGTCAGGACTTAAAATCATGACCTGTAAGGAATGTGCTATATATATATATTTAAGCTCACAGGAAGAAAGTGCATATGAATTATAGATTCCTTTTTAAATTTTAAAAGAGTAGAGAATAAGTACTAAATAATTAATTATATTGAACATTTACAATTCACGTAAACACATCTGGATTTTTACATTATAAAGGGGTACTATATGTTAAAAAAATACAATATATATATATATATATATATATATATATATATATATATACATATATATATATATATATATATATATATACCAAAATATACATATCTCTTTATGTTGATGATTCATCAGAATCTACAGCTTAAATTCTTATGACAAGTAGAGTACCATACTTACCCTGAGTCTTTGAACTTGTACTCCCTGTTTCTCAGTCATTTTAAGAAAATGAGAAAAGTTGGCCTCATCAAGTAGAAGATAAACAGGGACTCCTCTTGTTGAAGCTTCCACAAGTTCTTTAAAGATATCAACATCGGTAAACATATCCATAACTATTGCAACTACCTGTAGCAAGAAAATGAGCATGTTAAAAGGTGTGCATTAGTCTAAAAACAGACTTCAAGTTTGCTTTACATTGGCTCATATATTCATTTGTTTCCACTTCATGGGAATAAAATGAGTTTGTGAAAATTATTGACAGACAATGATAGTAAAGTATATTCATACTTGGTAATTATGAAAAAAAGGATAGCTAAGTGACACTTAAGTTATTAACCCATTTAATATCTTTATTTACAGATATTCAATGCATTAGAACAACAAATGTAGGACCTACTTTGAGTATTTAATTTGTGGTCTCATTAACCATTTATGTGAATGTGCTTTATCACTGTTTAGATGCTGCTAGGCCTGAACCTATAACTGGCTTTTAATGAACATTAATTCCTAACATTAACGAACAGACATATAGCACAAATTCCAGTTTTTGTTTACGTTTTGTTTTGATCAGAACGTGTACTATTGAATCCGTCCTGAAAGGGTTAAGTTAAAGTGGAGGATTAGACATTACATACAATCAATAAATACCACTGTGTTCCGGGTAAGGTTCAACTTTCCCTTCACTCAAAACTCCAAGTAGTGGGGTTATTTCTTGACTAATCATTTACTTTGTATTATTATATTGGTTTCCATGAAGGACAAAACAGTTTGTTTTGACTGTTTCCATAGGCATAATATAAGAATACCTGAATTAACAAAAGTAATACATGGTTTATTTTGCTGTGTTTTAGTACATTTAATCAAGGATATAATTATAAATATTTAAGTTACAGGATGGATGAAACATTAAAAGGACACCATAGTCACCAGAATAACTACAGTTTAACCCCTTAAGGACACAGCTTCAGAAGCTTGACTTACGCTTAATGACACAAGCAATTTTTGCATTTTCTTGCTGTTTGCGTTCAACTGCAATTTGCATCTCTCTCATTTATTGCACCGACACATATTATATACTGTTTTTTAAAGGACAGAAAGGGCTTTAATTTGATATAACATATATATATATATAATGCTTACTTATTATAAAAAAAATACAGAAAAATGCAAAAAAAATGAAAAATATTGTTTTTTTTTACAGTTTTTGCAATAATAATGTGTGCATAATTAGTGCAGGTTAAGGAAAGTAATTAAAAATAAATTTATTTATTTGTTCTGATTTACAGAATATATAATGTGTCTGGGATTTTAAGTTTTTTTTGGTAGTTACAGGTCACAAAGCACAAGGAGTAAAATAAAATTTTAATGTGGAGCGATTTTAGAATTTGGTATGTTTGTCTTGTAAGCTTAATAGCCATAAAAGAAAACAAAATTGCCACACAAAAGTATATATTTATATAAAGTAGACATCACGGGCTATTTACCTAAGGTTGTTTTGACACTTTCTACGTAGCCATATTACCGCCAACCTCTGCTAAATATTGGAGTAAAATTGTGTTCTTTTTGTTTTTTGGCACACAAACTTATAACAGAGAAATTCTCGTGTATATTTTGTAAAGTTGGTGTGTGCTATTCCTGTACAAAGTTTTATTTTGTGTTCAGTTACATCTGCTGAGTAAAATGACACCCCCATTGTATGTCTTTTGCACTATTTCGTGAAGTTACAGTGCCATACAGGATACCTGTCCTTTTCAGTATTCACAGTAGAATTTTGAGAGATGAATTTAATGAGCCTTAGCTTCCATTTGGGGTATTATAACAGTTTGACTGTTCAAAAACCCCCACAAAGGCCTACCATTTGTAAAAGTAGACACTCCAGGGTATCTTATAAGGTGCATATTGTGCCTTAACATGCCCCCATTTTTTCACCAATATATGCCAAAGTATGTGGTAAAAAAAAATTTTGTGCATTTTTTACATACGGATTGCATTTTTGCTGGGCGTTTTGTATATTTCATATGTGCCACTAAGTTCAAACCCCCCAAATTATGCTCAGCTAAGTCTTCTGAGTAAAATGACACCCCATATGAATGTCTTTGGCACTATTTCGTGAAGCTACAGTGCCATATAGGAGACCTGTCCTTTACAGTATTCACAGTAGAATTTTGAGAGACGGATTTAATGAGCCTTAGCTTCCATTTGGGGTATTATAACAGTTTGACTGTTCAAAAAACCCCCACAAAGGCCTACCATTTGTAAAAGTAGACACTCCAGGGTATCTCATAAGGTGCATATTGTGCCTTAACATACCCCCATTTTTTCACCAATATATGCCAAAGTATGTGGTAAAAAAATTATTTTGTGCATTTTTTACATACGGATTGCATTTTTGCTGGGCGTTTTGTATATTTCATATGTGCCACTAAGTTCAAACCTCCCAAATTATGCTCAGCTAAGTCTTTTGAGTAAAAATACACCCCCAATGAATGTCTTTGTCACTATTTTGTGAAGCTACAGTGCCATATAGGAGACCAAGCCATATCCGTTTTTACCAAACTTTGAATTTTGACGCTGGGCCTATATGCAATTTCCAAGCATCTTCGCAGGTTTTAAATTCAATCTACCCCACAAAGGCCTACCATTTCTTAAAGTAGACACCCCAGGGTGTTTCAAAAGGTATAGTTTGAACCTTAGCGTGGGATCATTTTTCCGCTAGCTTGTACCAGATGTAGTGGTAATAAGCGTTTTTTCTGCCTTTTGACATACAAAGTGAGTTTGCACAGTATATTTTGCAAACCTTATGTGTGCTACGACTGTATAATACTTCATATGTTGCTCAGCTATGTCGGCTGAGTACAGCAATACCCCCGTATGTACCTTTGCCAGGTATGTGTGGACATCGGAGGGGCACATTTGGGACACAGCCATTCCAGTTTTTTTCAAACTTTGAATTTTTATGCTGTGCCTATGTCCCATTTTAGAGTATTTTACCAGGCTATATAATCCAAATTCCCCATAAAGCCATACCATTTCTTAAAGAAGACATCCCAGGGTATTTCAAAAGGCATATTTTGAACCTTAGTGTGGGATCATTTTTCCGCTAGCTTGTACCAAGTGTAGTGGTAATAAGCATTTTTTCTGCCTTTTTGACATACAAAGTGAGTTTGCGCAGCATATTTTGCAAACCTTATGTGTACTATGACTGTATAATACTTCATATGTTGCTCAGCTATGTCGGCTGAGTACAGCAATACCCCCGTATGTACCTTTGCCAGGTATATGTGGATGTTGAAGGGGCGCATTTGAGACGCAGCCATTCAGTTTTTTTCTAACTTTGAAGTTTTACGCTGTGTCCATGTTCCAATTTGGAATAGTTTAGACAGTTGGTTATTGAAACTTCCCCACAAACACATACTATTTATTAAAGAATACACCCTGGGGTAATTCAAAAGGCATATTTTGAACCTTGGCGTGGGATAATTTTTTCTCTAGTTTGTTCCAGGTGTAGTGGTAATGAGCGTTTTTAAAATGTATTTTTTTACTTTTTATAACTTTTTTACTTTTAAAAACTAGTTTTTAAACTTTTGTTTTGCTTATAAATTTTTTTTAAACTTTCCTAAACTTTCTTAAAACTTTTTTACAGATTTAACATTTTTCTAAGCTATTTTTTTTACTGTTAACCCCTAACTAGCAGTACGCAGCACTAACAGTAAATTCCCCATTTTCCCATAACTCCCACCCACCCCAGCTAGCAAAATATATAGTTATAAAATATTTAAATTAATTAATTAAATAAATTGAACCCCTGAGGGTTAAAAAAATAAATAAAAGTTAATCCTCAGGGGTTAAAAAAAATTAGATCACAGTATAATACTGTGATCTCTATTTGATCGCTGTATGCAGTGATCGACTGGCAGGGAAGGGGTTAATTTTTATTTGGACTAGGTAAAGTGTGTTTTTTTGTTTTTATTACTTAAATGTTATTAAAACATTTTTTAAGCTTAATTTTTAACTTTTTAAAGTTTCTTTTAAAACTTTTTTTTAACGTTAACCCCTAGTTAGCCTAACGTCAAATCCCCCAATTCCCCACTAACTTCCACCTACCCCAGCTATCTAAATATATAATTGAAAAATAATTTAATTAATTAATTTAATTAATTTAACCCCTGAGGGTTAAAAAAAAAAGAATTAACCCTCAGGGGTTAAAAAAAAAAAATCAGATCATAGTAAAATGTAATCCCTGCCAATTGATCACTGTAGTCAGTGATCAATTGGCAGGGAAGGGGTTAATTTTTTATTAAAATGGGTAAGGGGGGGGGACACTTTAAATTAACTTTATTTTTTTTACAGCAGGGGGCAGGATCAGCACTGATCCGGCTCCCTGCACTTCACACAGAACCCGGAAGTGCAGGGAGCCGGTAGGTAAGTATTCAGAGCACATGTGCTCGCTCCGACTTGTGGTCAGAGCGAGCACATGTGCTGGGCAGCTTGACCGGGTGCTCCCGGTATGCCTCCAATGCAGAGGCATACCGGGAGCACCATTAACCCCGCGATCGCCGCGATAGCGGCGATCCGGGGTTAATTTTACCGCGTGACGGACGAGGTCCGTCACCCGTCGTTAAGGGTCTCCCCTGTGTGACGGACCTCGTCCATCACCCGTCCTGAAGGGGTTAATGAGTACTGCCAGTGTCTGCAGGCTTTCTGCTGTAAACACTGCTTTTTCAGAGAAAAGACAGTGTTTACATTACAGTCTAGGAACACCAGTAGTGACCACTCCTTATAAAGCATCCTCTGCATCTCCACGCTAGGCATGGAGATGCTGAACTTTCCCCACAGAGATGCATTGATTCAATGCTGATTGGCCAGGGTGGTGTTTGGCTCTGCCCTCCTCGGCTGAGATCATAAGAATTAACAATCTCTGACAATCCAATGCTTTTTATGGGAACAGTGATTGTATGAGGTAATCAATTCTGATGAAGTCAGCCAAGATGGCGGACTGAGGGTGGAGCCAGCACTGAAGGATCTGTGAAATAAGGTTGTTTTTTTACTATATTTAAGTGGGAACAGGAGGGCTAGGGGGGGTTAATAGTGATTTTAACACTATAGGGACAGGATTAAACACTTGTGTTTCTGACCCTATAGTGTTCTTTTATTTATGAATTATGCTAGTGTGCTTTGGGGACTAAATTGGGAGACACTGGTCTGGAGGCTACTGGGTATTGTTACAAAAAAAGCTGCATAACACATACAGTATGAAAGACAGATACATAGTTTACATCTGGTTTTCTAACCATATAATATAAAGGTAGTTATTGAATATAACAACTGATAAACTGAAAGCTTAGTCTAGGATCTTTCTTTGGTATCACATAAAGAAGTTTTTGTTTTATTTGTAAATACCAAAATAATAGTTTCCCAAATTTGACAAAAACAACTTTAAAAAAAGTTGCTCTGGCAACATAAAAGACTTAAACAATTGAGTCTAATTAGAAGATCAAAACTAGATAATTATTTCAAGGGTTATTATACAATAGTTTAAACTTCTGCTTGGACACATTTTATTGATACTACTTTAACATGTACTCAGTCCCTCTATTTGTAGCTTTTCCTAATTAAATGGACTATTTTCTTTAATGTTCACTTTCCTATTCATGCTTGTTCAAAGACCTTCAGAATTATTCAAAGAATACAGGAAATTAATATTTTCAAGTTAAAATGGGCCTCTGAAAAAAAAAAACCCTCAACAGAGAATCTTATTATCACAGAATTACTTTGACAAGATATACTTCTCTCATCTTACAAGGAAAACATAATTGAAATTATTGTGACATGGGCATTATTGTTGCTCTGATTTGGAGCCAAGAAAGATTAGCTTGGACTACACAGAAAGACCAGGTAATAGAAGTTGGACTTGACTGTTTCACTGTGAGCCAGATACTGCTGGCAGTGATTTTGCAGGTTGGATCTTGCAGTTAGTCATCAAAATTAAATTCCTCAAACACAGTCTGCTATGTATTTCTCGTTAGTCATGGTCAAAATGCATAGAACATGTAATGAAAAACAACACATGCTAACCATCATTTAACCTGCCTTTCATGTTGGAATGCTAACAGTCCTCCAAAACGTGATACATAAGTACTTTATTGCAAGATAAATTCTAAAGAAATATTTAAAATACACAATTACTAAAATAACCACAATTAATGAGAATTTACAGGATAATTGTGACTTTCTGGCCAAGGGGTCTGAAATTATATTCTATTTTTTTACAATTGACATTTCTTCACAATTCTCTGAAAATTCACAAAAACCCCTGCTGCAGGGAGTCCTGTGACTGGGCGGACAAGTAAGGTGAGATTTACTTGCCTTCACCTGTCCTTCGCAGGTGCGCCTATTTTGCTCGGTTCTACAGCGCCAGGAGCCAACGTCACTGCTGTGCTCTGAAGCATGCATGAGAGTACAGCATTGAGGTCTAAGGAGGATCCTGCGGAGCAGTCTCTCTCCTGGCATGCCCCCCCATCCCCACTCATCAATCACTGTTGGCGATTTATACTTACGACTTTTAGAATACACTTTTGGCGATTTTTACTTTTATAAACCTGTGTTGTGTTTGCAATTGTTTGATATCCATGAAATCAGATTTTTTTGTGTGTATTTTTTGAACACAAGATTAAAGAGTTAAACAATAAACACAATTTTTCACAGCCTTCTTTGCTCATATTTACCAATGGTGCCGATACTGGTGTAGGGCACTGTATCTATTTTATTTAACTTTGATCGATTCAAACCTATTTTTTTTTTCTCGAGCAGGAGTCTGGATGTTTATTCTTATATGCAGGAGACTGTGTTACTTCAGTATTACTGTATTTCTGTAAGCGGAGAACTTTCTGGACTCTGGTGGTAATTGGTCCACTTTTTCTCATTTCTCATAACTAGTTGCTTTCAGTAAAACAACTAGGATTGCATTGAGTGAGATGTACATCAGAAAGTACTTGAAAACTAACATGACAAATATAAACAATAAAAAATAAAGATAAATGTAATTGTTAAATACTACTATGATGTCAATATTCAGTATGCACCAAATGATGTACTGTTAAAATGTAGAATGTAAATGCATGTGGAGATGGCTTTCAAAATATAGGCACTGTATTACATGATACAACACAAATTTGTCATAGAAATACTTGATACTTCTGTATATCCAGCTAAATAGTTCTTGATGTTTACATATAAACAGAAATATTGTAATAAAGTAATCCAGAAAGGTCATAAATATGTAAGTGAACAGAAACATCTATAGTAAACATGCTCCCAGTTCTATGTGCAATAGATTTGCCATTACAGCTGTGGAAAAGGTCAGTGGTCTTCCTTAGAATAACAGTTCTCTCAGCTATGAATACATTTGTTAACCACAGTCAGTAGTCCTATATAATTATAGGATGTTACTTTTGCAGCACACGCAGGCTTATAAATTGAACAACAAAGTACAATAAGTGGGTCCTATGACTGCAATGAAACTTATGTGATCTTTCAAATAGTAATGTACACATTTTACAAGCGATATGTAAACATAAGTTAGATAAAAATCTTAGGGACAATAGATACACCCAGAATTAGGATAAATTAAAATATATTTAGTTTTAGATATTTATTTCTTTCTACAAACTAGACATTTTTTAATCTATCTATGTATCTATCTATCTATCTATCTACACCAAAACAACATTATTTTTCCATTAAAACACAGTTAACTATTAACAATGTTGCATCTTTTACATTGCACAAATCATATATGTATGTTCCTGATGACATGATTTTTTAGAATATCAGAATGATGCCAGAGTGTAAATGGTGAAAGAAATGTCCAGCTGCTCTAATCTATAACACCTAGCAGCAGCTATTAATATGCTGACTGTTCTTTTACTTAACAACAAATATCACCCAAAGAGATAATGTCATCATACCTTTCTTCTACTTCTCAAGTGGGCAGAGAGTCCCAATATCTTACATTAATCTCACAGCTGCATTGATATGCAGAGAAAAGAAAAAGGCAAAAGGGTGTCATCTCCTCTGGTGAATGGTCAGCCTCATCTCATGTCCCTACAATATACGTGGGGCAATTCAAACTCACAGTTAATTGTATGATGTAATTTAAATACTAGGGGGGTCATGTTGTACAAACACAGAACAATGTCAAAGCCAAATTTGCTTTGGTTTTAGAGTGAAAATTAACCTTTGTCCTTAATGAGTAAAAATATCTCCTTCTCACTAATCTATCATTACCGATAGCTTTGTAACCAAGTCTAAAAAATTAGATATCTGCCTATATTGACTGTTTGCTGGGACTTTTAAATATGTGGTGTAACATTTATTCTTAAAGGCATTCTATAGCGTTAGTACTATAGACGTTTTCCTAACAGTATAGTGTTGGAATATATTTTATGGCCTCTCTCAGAGTGGAGAAATAAGATTAATAGTCTTACTTTTTTTTCTCCTGCTTGGCCCCACTTCCATGATCTTGATGATCTGAGCCAATCCATTGCTTTCCCATAGAAAAGCAAAGGGAGGTTTTTGTGGATTTGTGGCAAAACACATCTCTATGGGGTGCCTTCGGCATCTCCATGAAGAGACTGTGACTGCCACTAGAGGTGTTCGCTGGCAGCAATGTAAACACTGTCTTTTCTTTGAAAAGGCAGTGTTTATACAGATAACACTACAGGGACATGCTATAGACACCAGAACCACTACATTAAGCTGTCCCTTTAAGTCCTACACAACTTGAGTTTAGGATCACAAATAGTAAGCTGGCACATGTTAAGATATTGTTTTATGGTTGAATTTCATGAGTGAAACATATCACATGCATAAATCTGATAAAAAAATATCAATATAAGAAATATTTTGAATATGATATTTGAGCCAAGTATTGCATAAAATATGGCAAGGATATATAGCCAAATGTAACTTTCAAATGAAACATTTATTGTGAATAAGTATACACTAAATGATGTATACACCCTATGATAGCTGACACCAAAGTAGCAGCAAGTATTATCTAAATTAGAATTGGTTAATTGTAATAAACAACTGTCTCCATCTACCTAGTTTTATATGCAGTCATTTTTTATACATGTTCCCTGCCAATAATTACAGGCGCCAAAAGGTGTTGGCCTTCTTGCGTTTATGATTAACTGATGTTGACACACCTGCATTGTTGAGTTTTAAACTCTTTCTTTGCTGTCGTTTCAATATATTGCTCTGTGCTTCTATGTGTATTATTACATATGTTTTATTTCTGTTGCAATTTTACAGTTTTATATTTTAGCAGATTTACATATATTTTACAAATGCCCACTAAAAGGTTATTTCAAAACATTAAAACAACAAAAAGCAATGTAAAACTGTATTCGTGCATATATATTTTTCTCTGTAACGGAATCTCTGTTTTGTATCACTACCAAATATAAATTAGTAAGCAACGCATAAGCCTCCACCTAGGTCCAGGGCTAGTGGGCAACAGAAAAGACAATCCACCATCCACATTTAACAAAGAAGAAAAAAAATATCTGTTCCTTATACAATAACTTAAAATGAATTAAATAAAAAACTTCTGATGTCCGATGTCTAGGTATTACTAAATATTGTCACAGATCAAGTGAGAAGTGAACAATAATCTGAAAAATAGGAGTAGTAAAAAAACAAACATATTAATTTATTCTATATTTAAGGTATCAAAATGTATTGTTAAACCAAACACAATAAAATGCATATAGAAAAATGATTGTTTATATTTATACATATTACCGCAAATACATACATATTACTGCATAACTCAATTTGGAGAAGTCCTTCTTGTACACTGAAACCTGAGAGAGCACAGACAGGCATCATATTTCAGTATTCAAACTGCATTTCTACAGATACCCTTAGCAATAGGCACTGCTTTAAACATAGCTTTAAAAAAAAAAAAAAAAACAAAGCAAGGGCTGTGATCCAAAATGACCAGTGGCCATAAACCAGCCATGAACTGCTATTTTGACTTTGTGAGACCCATTAGCATGGCACTGGTTCTAGTTTGAATGTTGAAGTGTCGCTGAGATCATACAGCTAGAAAACAAAAAGATTGTGGTTAGACCACAATATTCTCAACTAGACAAGCAAATGAGCACAGACAGGGATTGTATTTCAGACTCCATACTGTCAATCTATGGACAAATTAATAGATTTGCTAGGCAGCTATGAATCAATTCATTTGTCCATATATTGGAAAGCATTTGATTCGTTCAACACAGCTGAAACGGATTTGGGCACAAGTCTAGTATCTATATATCTTTGCTTATACTGTAACTTATTTCATTAACATTTACTAAATTGAAACTCACAGCATAAACTGATTGGAAAATGAAAAATATACATTTTAATGTAAAATAATGGTACTAGAAGAAATTGTTTAGCTCAAATAAATTTGTTATCACTATGTTCTCTTGCCATTTAATTTGAGTAATAGTAGAGTTTAGGCAAATAGATTTCTGTTTGACCTATCTGCTAATAATTGTACTTCAAATAAATCTTCAAGAATTATGTTATTGCAGTCTTAATTTACGATGGCACATCATGTTAAAAAAGTATTGTTGGAGGAAGGTTTTACTGGTATTTAACAGTGCGCATCCAAAATGCCTACACCATAGAAAATGCACTCTAAGTGAGTACTAAAATTCTCAGAAAGATGCACTGAACCTCCAACACAAGTTTGTGTTTAAGAAATATGCTTACCCACATATGCATGTAAAAATTAAATAATTATACTGTAAATCCTATACCTACTTTTTGCTGGGATAGAATAATGTGAGTTTATGCATGTGCCAAATATGTAATATGAATCAACACTTAAAACCCTATTTAACCCAAGTTAAAACACTAATGGGATTTATTATTTAAACATTCAATTAAAAAACAAATTGCAAAATATGGGCACCAATTACAAATTACTAATAAACATAACCAAGTATTGGTAAACTATGATGTTATTATATTCTATGTATGGAATTGTTTGCAATTGTTAAAATGTCATATTCACATGTGACAACTATAAATTAATTTCCCTCATTAAAATTCTCATACAGTTGTGCTCAAAAGTTTGTATACCCTGGCAAAAATTTTAAAATTTTGGCATTGATTTTGAAAATATGACTGGAGCCATTTACTATCACATGGTTGTTTGGCTTCTTTTTAAATCATAATGATAACATAATTCACCCAAATGGCCCTGATCAAAAGTTTACATCTCTTTGAATTTTTGGCATTGATACAGACACACAAGGTGACACACACAGGTTAAAATGGCAAGTAAAGGTTAATTTCACACACATGTGACTTTTTAAATTGCAATTAATATCTGTGTATAAAAAGTCGATAAGTTTGTTAGCTCTCATGTGGATGCACTGAACAAGCTAGATACTGAGCAATGGGGAGCAGAAAATAACTGTCAACAGACCTGTGTAACAAGGTAACTTTATAAAGATAGAAAAGGATTAAAAAAAAAGATATCCAAAGCCTTGAAAATGTCAGTCAGTACTGTTCGATTACTTATTAAGAAGTGGAAATTTCTGGGATCTCTTGATACCATGTGAAGGTCAGGTAGACCAAGAAAGATTTCAGCCACAACTGCCAGAAAAATTGTTTTGGATACAAAGAAAAACCCACAGGTAACCTCAGGAGAAATACATGCTGCTGTGAAAAAAGACGGTGTGGTTGTTTCAAGGAACACAATACGACGATACTTGAACAAAAAGGAGCTGTATGTTTGAGTTGCCAGAAGCTTTTACTGCACCAATGCCACAAAAAAAGCCTGGTTACAATATGCTTGACAACACCTTGACATGCCTCACAGCTTCTGGCACACTGTAATTTGGAGTGACAAGTCCAAAATAGAGCATTATGGTCACAACATAAGCGCTATGGTTGGAGAGGTCAACAAGGCCCATAGTGAAAAGAATACCATCCCAACTGTGAAGCATGGTTGTGGCTCACTGATGTTTTGGGGGGTGTGACCTTTAAAGGTAATGGGAATCTTTTGAAAATTAATTGCAAGATAAATGCAGCATGTTATCAGAAAATACTGGCAGGCAATTTGCTTTCTTCTGCACAAAGGCTGCAAATCGAACGTTCTTGGACTTTTCAGTATGACAATGACCCTAAGCACAAGCCAAGTTGACCCTCCAGTGGTTACAGCAGAAAAATGGAAAGGTTGTGGAAATCATCGAGTCACTCTGGGGAAATCTCAAACGTGTGGTTCATTCAAGATGACCAAAGACTTTGCGTGACCTGGAGGCATTTCTCCAAGACGAATGGGCACCTAAACCACCTGCAAGAATTAGGGACTTCATAGACAAAATCTTACAAAAGATGGCATGCTGTCATTGATGCTGAAGGGGACAATACACCATATTAAAGGACCACTATAGGCACCAAGACCACTTCAGCTCAATGAAGTTGTCTGGGTTCCAGGTCCATCTAGGGTTAACCCTGAAGCTGTAAACATAGCAGTTTCAGAGGAACTGTTATGTTTACATTAGGGTTAATCCAGCCTCTAGTGGCTGTCTCATTGACAACCGCTAGAGGCGCTTCTGCGCTTCTCACTGTGATTTTCACAGTGAGAAGATGCCACCATCCATAGGAAAGCATTGAGAAATGCTTTCCTATGGACTGATTGAATACGCGTGTGGCTCTTGCCGCACATGCACATTCGAGGGAGCCCGGCGCTGGAGGAATATATGACTTTAACCCCTTCCTCCCCCTTCAGCCTGGCGCGAGTGGGACCCAGAGGGTGGGGGTACCCAAAGACACTATAGAGCCAGGAAAACAAGTTTGTTGCAATGTTTTCTTTTATGATTGGGCTGTTCTGTTAAAACGTACAGTTAATTATGAATCCCATAAGGAATAAAAGAAATGTGTTTTGCCTACTCACTCATGTTTTCTTTAAAAAATGGTACATATATTACCAATACTCCAAGGGTATGCAATCCTTTGAGCACAACTGTACATTTAAAAAGTACAGGGAAAAATATGGCTGACCCCCATTTTTTTGAAAACATATGATGGCACCCTGATTGCAGCCACTAGAGGCAGTCTTAGTCCTGCAATGTAATCAGTGCAGTTTCTCTAAAACTAAGTGGAACTGGGACACTGCACCCAGACCATTTCCATGAGCTGTAGTGGTCTGGGTAACTATAGTTCCATTTAAGCGAATAACATTAATATTGTCATCATCAGTATTTGTGGATGATGGATACATATTGAAGAGAGCTCTGTTACACAAATATACTCGAGTGAACAATTAATGTTATAATACAAGTTTTGAAATGAAATAACATATTCTACCAAATGCAAGTACTTATGAAAAAAATTGACTTGATGCCTACTGAAAATGCAAATACTCTACTAACACCTCAGAGAAAAAAATAGGAGATAAAACTGCAAAGGGTAATCACTGCTCCAAGCTATGACAGACATTTCTATGGATAACTGTTATGACTAGAGTTGAGCAGACACCTGGATGTTCGGGTTTGCAGAGTTCGGCGAACTTTGTCAAAAAGTTTGAGTTCGGCCTCAAACTTGACCCGAACTTGAACCCGAAACCGAACCCCATTGAAGTCAATGGGGACCCGAACTTTTGGGCACTAAAATGCCTCTAAAAAAGTCCTGCAAGGGCTAGAGGGCTGCAAAAGGAAGTAAAATAGGGGTGCCCTGCAAACAAATGTGGATAGGGAAATAACTTAAAATAAAATAAAATACATAAAAATTAAAAATAATAATCTTGAACTAGGAGGAGGAGGTGGATGTGGAGTAGGAGGTTGAGGAGGCGGTGACTGTGGCGGTGTAGGTGGAAGCAACGGTGGAGGAGGAGGAGGTAGCCAACACTGTTTTTTATTTTTTGTTTTTTAATTTGAGTAGCCCCCAAAATGTTGGAACATATAAAAAAAGAATCATTTGCGTCCTGCAGTGCATTTCTTGCAGTCCAATAATGCCATCAGGTTTTTAAAACTGTCCATCTCCACTAGACGGAATGACAGCATTTCAAAGGCCAGGAATTTTGAAATGCTGGCATTCTGGGCCAGGGATCGTGGGTGTGTAGGGGGGTACTTCCTCTTTCTCTAAGGTGTTTGGGAGATGGACACCTGAACGCTTCCATGGGACAGTGTGGAGATGCTTGGGGTCGGTTGCGGACGTGATGACTTTGCTGCCACATCCTCTGTTTGCGGGGTGGCAGGTGCCACTGTCACTCAAGAGGTGGAGGAGGAGGCCGAGACAGCAGCAGAAGAGGATGCAGGAGGAGCCTGAGACCTTTCTTGGTTTTTGTGTTGCTTACTCCACTGCAGTTCGCGCTTTGCATGTAGATACCTGGTCATGAAGGTTGTGCTCAGATTTAGAACATTTATGCCTCACTTCAGGCTCTGATTGCACAGCGTGCAAACCACTAGTGCCTTGTCGTCAGCACATTGTCTGAAGAACTGCCACGCCAGGGAACTCCTTGGAGCTGGCTTTGGTGTGCTCGGTCCGTGGGTGCGGTGGGCAGTCGCAGGCATACTGTCTAGGGGACAGCCGCTCCGCTTTTGCTCCCTGCTCTAGGAGAAGATGGTGGATGTGGAGTAGGAGGTTGAGGAGGCAGTGGCAGTGTAGGTGGAAGCGACGGTGGAGGAGTTAGCCAACACTGTTTTCTATTTGTTTGTTTTTTTGTTTGCTTTTTAATTGGGGTAGCCCACAAAATTTTGGGACATATAAAAAAAGAAAACAAAGAATAATGACACTTGAATATAACAATAGCTGGGTGAAGCCGGTATAAATGTCTATTCTGCACAAGGTACAGACAAGTCTGGTGGGATCCATGCCTGGTTCATTTTAATAAGCGTGAGCTTTTCTACATTGGCTGTGGACAGGTGGCTGCGCTTGTCTGTGATAACGCCCCCTGCTGTGCTAAACACACATTCAGACAATACACAGGGCACAGGAAGGTGCTACCAACACCCAGTGGAACCCAGGTAAGTTGTCAAATCGTAAGCTGACTATTTACACTGAGAGGGCTCCAGGACACAACTGTGACCATAATCTTTATCACTAATCTACAGGCTGTACTAATTATAGTGTTTGCCATTTCAGTAAGTTATTCTTAGTGAACTTTACATGCTGGAAAAACACAGGTGCCAACTACTGTGGCTTTCAGGAACCTGGGGGCCTGCTGGTAACTTCCTCCCATGTAAAGTTGTCAAGCTGGAGTGGTAATGCTGCGTGGAGTGTTAAAGATTCAAAGTGCAAGTAATCTAAATTGTATCTCCAAATATTTCATATACAGTATAATGGCAACCTATGTAAAACTTGTGTGGTATACTTTAATAACTCATTCTTTTGCAGGCCAACTGAACATCCAGAATGACAAACATGCTTCAGAGTTGGGTTTTGAATTTTTTTAAGCTTGTGTTTTGATATTTATACACTGTGACGAGACCAATCTCGCCACATTGCATTGGAAGAGCCTGGTTGCCCGCCTGTTGCCTCTGCACTATGGCCCCATGGTAAACCTTGTATTTTCCCCTGCAGAAAGGCTTGCCACTGGTTAGTCTATACATATTTTAAAACTTGTTTAACTTTGTTATAGCATGACTTGTAGTCTTGTCTTTAACTTGTCTATAATACATATTTTTGTATGACACTTTACATATTTTGTATGACAGTGTGGGTTTTCATTGATTATTGAATTTTAATGGTCTAAGATAATTAACATGTCAACAGGCAAACGTAACCCGAATGATTTGTCTCAGTCTTGCCTTCTATACTACCTGCACCATAGGCAACATTTATTTGTCTTTAGACTTTCTTGAGAAGGGATAACTAGCCAGTGTTGCACACATACACCAGATATGAAGTGCACACCGCAAATGTACTATTTAGCACCAAAAATTTGTAATTTTTAAAACTGTGATGTAACCACAGTATTTGACTGTTCTATTTGACTCTCAGGTATGAAGTGCACACCCCCAAATGTACTATTTAGGACAAAAAATTTGAATTTTTAAAGCTGTCCTGTAACCACAGTGTTTGATGATTCTATTTGACTCTCAGATATGAAGTGACACCCCAAATGTACTATTTAGCACCCAAAAAAATAGCATTTTTCAAAGTGCAATGTAACCACAGTGTTTGATGATTCTATTTGACTCTCAGAAACTAGCCAGTGTTGCACACATACACCAGATATGAAGTGCACACCCCAAATGTACTATTTAGCACCAAAACATTTGAATTTTTAAAACTGCGATGTAACCACAGTATTTGACGGTTCTATTTGACTCTCATATATGAAGTGCACACCCCATATGTACTATTTAGCACCAAAACATTTGCATTTTTAAAACTGCGATGTATCTACAGTATTTGATGGTTCTATTTGACTCTCAGATATGAAGTGCACACCCCAAATGTACTATTTAGCACCCAAAAATTTTAAATTTTTAAAACTGCGCTGTAACCACAGTATTTGACGGTTCTATTTGACTGTCAGATATGAAGTGCACCGCAGGGCGCAAATGTACTATTTAGCACAGAAAAAGTGTGATTTTTTTAAACCAACAATGGAACAGTAGTATTTAAGGGTTTTATTAGACAGCAAGAAATGTACTATTTAGCACCAAAAAAATTGCAATATTTAAAAATGCCTAGATGTTGCCCACTGAGTTACCAGAACGGGATTAAAGTAATGTGCCTGTCACACATGCAGTTGCAAGTGCACTGCACTCTCTGTGGCACTGGGCTCAGGGCAGGGTACAAAAATGTAGTATAGCACCCACAAAAATAATCGCTGTAGTTTGCAGATTCAACACCAGAATTCTTTCCTTATCTGTCCCTCACAGCTGCAGCATCCTCTCCCTACATTAATAACAGCTCATGTGATGTGCGGTGCTACGTGACTCCAGCTTATATATAGAGGCTGGGTCACATGCTGCACTGGCCAATCACAGCCATGTCATTAGTAGGCATGTGATGGCTTCTAAGGGTACATGAGTCAAACTCTTGTTGATTGGCTGCCCTGCAACCTTTCAAAACGTGCCATTAAGTCGCCGAACACCGAACTCCAACCCGACCATACACTGAAATGTCTGTGTTCGGATCCAGGGTCCAAAAACCGTAATGTTCGGTACGAATCCGAACTTTACAGTTCAGGTTCACTCAACTCTAGTTATGACTAAAACTGTAATCTTGCATGTTCATTAATGTTAAAACATGTTCTTATATTTAGCAGAAACCCATGTTTAAGGAATAGGTTTATTTAATGTGTTTCAAGAGCCCAGTGATGCTAAAAAGGAATAATCCAGTAACTTCATGGAAAATCCTAAAATTGTGAATAACATTTTAGTGTCACTGTTTTATTCACTAAAGTCCAAATTGCAGGTCCAAATTATTGAATGAGGCTTATTGAACCCCATAGAATTTGTATTTATTTCATTTTTTAAAAATCACTTTAAATGTAGTGGCTGTCAAGCAAGAGATGGGCAGCTGCCACATGAGGAGCCCTGACACTGTTAAGGAATATTTAACTATTTGTCCATTGACTGCTAACGAAAATAGTACTTAAAATACTTAAAGTTAGCATTTGCAAAATGCTAGATGCATTCAGTTCTGAATATTACTTAAACTGATGCTTTAATCTGAATATTCCAAATCTTATACTTTGCAAAAACGCCGATTATAATCTGTTCACAAAATGATTGGTGCAAATCAGGTCGGGCCGACCCGACTTGGCTTTAGTAAATATGAGAATTGCCATCCCAGTCAGAATTAATCAATTTTTATTAGATTTTGTCCATGCAGACAACATCTGCTGTTTTGTGAATATCCTTGTCATTAAAAGAACATTCCAAGCACCATAACTGCTATACCCCAGTCATGGTGCTAGTAGAATTCTGGACCCTTCCAATGTAAAGAGACAAACCATTAGCTTCCCTGAACTTAGCACTTAAGCTTACGGGCGGCGGAGGAGAAGTCAGTCATGCCTAGTGAACTCCAGGTATGTTTTGAAACAGTTCACAAACTGTTTGGCTACATAACATGGTGGTGTTTCTTTTGCAGTTCAATAGCAAAGTTCATCATGTTGAATTTTCCTATTTCTAGTAAAATAGTAGTTGAAATTTTAGTTCAGTTCTAAATGGTGTACCAAAGATTCTGCAATGCTTTTTTGCAGAAGTAGCACCAGAGAGAAAAACAAACTAGTCAGAGAGCATTGCATGTATCCTATTACCTTTTAGACTTTGATATTGAATGGTGCAGATAGATCAATTGGTAAATTCCATGACTACAGCGCTTTGATCAAAAACACAATGTTCAAGTCCCAGCAGAGTCAACTCAGCCATTCATCCTTCCAAGGTCAATAAAATGAATACTATCGATTGGGTAATAATACCATCTATTATTATTCAGCTGGCAATTTGGTTAATTCCAAGAGTTGAACAGTGCTTTGAGTCTCACTGGGAGAAAGATGCAATATACATACTAAATATAAGTACATAATTCAAACTTGTTCTCATACTCAGGGATAATCAGATGTAGGGTCTCACCAATATGTATTTGATTTCAAATTAAAAAAAAATCCAGAGAACAGCCAACTAACTATTAATGAATATGCAAGGTACACAGTTTCATCACTACAGTGTTGAGGATGCTATATTGTGCGAACAAAGGATTATGTGATATGATGTTTTATTCCTGAAGAAAAGTGATTAATGATCTATTTGTTCTTTTGATGGTGTTGGGTTTAAACCTGAAAGATCAAGTGCAATGGTTACTAAGGCTATTTTGTAAGAACTGATATGTTTGTTTTTCATATTATATTCATATATATTCAGCTTTGCTTGATTTATGACATATACTAATATTCCCCCAATCTGTTTGTAACCAGTCCATGTGTATCATTGTATAGATTACTTACTCTAGAACTAGTTGCCTTAATAAAATGTTAATTACATAAAAAATAAATAAAAATTGCATCAACATTCTAAATGAGGGTTAGACTGGACTTGCCTGCCAACATTATATCCAACTTAAAGAACTGCAGCGTGACAGTAGTTTTCATTCCAAGGAAGAATATTTCCTATTTGTAGTTGTAAGCACTGTTCTGATGAATTGGTAAACCAGTCAATCCATCTGCTTTTCTCCATGCAGTTTGCCATATAGATTACCTCAGATGTGAACTAAAAACATTTCAGTACATATCTGCTACACTTGTCAAATGTGGGTAAGGTACTGCAGGTAAAATAAGCCAAATGAGCACGTTCGTGTTGAATACATTGCAGTATGATATAAGCAAATAAAAAATATTTATTAACTCATATTAATATGTAATGTCTGACATGTAAAGCCAGCGTTTATTATACCTTGAAGAACTCATAAATCATCAAAATTGATATTTTAATGCATAAACAAGATTTACTGAGAAAGAAGCATTCACTATTCAGAAGGGAAAATAAAATCTTAAAAAGATCCCCACCCTTTGCAACAAGAATTGACTTAGGTATTGTAATGAACCCAGCCCTGTGAAATGTACAAGGAGAGCCAAAGGCATAGGCATGATGCTTTAAGCTTTTCATAGAGGTAAACCTACTTGCCCAAGGCTTAGAAACAGTCTTTTGTTTATTTTCTGCTTTCAAAATAGTGTATTCCACTGTATCTGTTGAGCTGCACAGAGATGTGTTTTGACTTTTTTTTCAGATGCAAAAGATATTTAAAACCTTAATGATCTGCTGTTTACTTTAAACCTACAGCAGCTGATCTAATGCAAATCACATTAACTTTTGTCCCCTGTGTGTGAGATTATTGATCATGCTGTGTGACCTTGTGTTTTCAGGCAGCTAACAAAGAAAATAAATCTGTAACAACCTATTTTGTGGTAATATAACCAGAGATATAATGGATACATAACATTTTATTTTGTTTTTTTATTCATTCTCATACTGCAATGTAAATGATGCCTTAAATTACAAAATATCTGATCTTCTCATCCAAAGATTTCCTTTTAAGCAAATTCAACAGATGTGCTTGACAAAAATGGCATTAATAATAAATAAAAAATGTAAGGTTGGCATCTGTATTTTGAGTAACAACCCCAATGTGTAACTAAATTATTCTGAAGATCATTATTTGATTTCTTTTGAAACAGGAAACCACTAATGAAGAAAACATTCAATGTTCGCTTTAAATAATTACTAGTTTACTTCTTAATTTGCTTGTGAAGTGAATGATTCATCTGCAGGTTATATGGTGTAGAAATACAATGCTTATTAGCTATGCATAATGTTTAGTCATCAGAGCAGAATACAATAAGGTTCTAAGCACTACCTACAGCTTTTCTGTAAAGAGGCACTTCCCTTTTTCTCATAATTGTTTGCTTATAGAAGAACAATGATTTTCACACACGTGGACAACTAATAAACACAGTGAATCATTAGGCAGGATTTGGTTTTCAGTATGATTTAACCTCTTTCATTTGTATCAATAATTCTACTAATCTCCTTATTCAGGAAAGTATTGGAATATGAACATAATAAGCATCAAAAAAAAGTCTGCTTCATTAATATTTAATAATATTTTCAATGTACTGATCATTAGTATGGAGCTTTATATATTAATTATGTAAAGAATATTAAAGGAACACAGACCCCATAACAATTTCATTAAGTTCACTGACGTGAGGCACCAGAAGTGAGGGAACTGAAGGACACTCTAAGCACCATAGCTGATACAACCGCCTGTAGTGGTTATTGTTAAGGAGTTCCATTGCACTGTACCATGATCAAAAGTCAAAACGTTTTCTACTGGTTTAACACTTAAATGGGCAACTGGTGTCCAGACCCTCTTTAGATAACTCCAAGTCCCTACTTCTGCATTACTGATGGAATTTCTGCCCATTTATTGCCAGAATTCATTGGCTAAGAGGATCAGGTGGGACTCTCAGCCACTGTGTTTTGGACAATTAAGGGCAAAATTTACATACCTAATGCAGACAGGGAACCTCTGTTTTAGCTGTATCTGAAAAGGGGAAAACAGGGTAAGGGTTAATCATTCAAAAACATATTGACTTTTTATCTTATATGATGCCAGGAGACTCCTAGAATCATAATTACTACATTGAGATGTAGTGGTTATGATGCTTAGACTGCACCTTTAAACTTAGGGCACATTGTAGAAAATTGAAAATTATAAAGCAATACAAATATTTTAAGGAAATTTTTATAAAATAATAATGTATTCTTAAAGGTTATTCCCAATTCAGACATATAAGTCTCATAGGGTCGAGTTGCACTAAATTTGAACTTTATGTCAGCCAATGTGGCTTAAAACAGTTAACCTGTGGAATTATCTCTAAACTAGTTATTCACTAAAGTTTTCATGTAAGGGGGAAGTCATCCAAGAATAGTTTGTCTATATTTATACTCCTCACACATTTAAGTTTGGCAGGAGTCGAGTCTTCTACATCTGCATCACTTCTGTTTCTGATATCAACATATGTAAATATGCAGAAAATAATGCCCACACGATACTGGTAAGTCAAAAGGTCCAGCACAACAACTTCTTCTCATTAGACATGAAGAATTTATTTGGCGTCACCAAGTACATAAAAAGATTGAGCAACTACGCCAGGCATAAAACTAAAGAAAGTTATGAAGAAGCCTGAGAAAGTTCATCTGACTGACACATTAGTCAATCTTTTTATGTACTTGGTGCTCTTCAAATAAACTCTGCACATCTGCAGATTGAGAAGACGTTGTTGTGCTGGAGGTTTTTGTCTTATATGTAAAACATTTAAAATCATTCAAATCTTTGACTATTGTGGCAATTTGCATGTCCATAGGCATCACATAACAACATACTGTTTAGTGAATAAAACTATACACTCTAGTAAGCATGCGGAGGCAACGTAAAGATGTATCTGCTAGTTAAAAACAAAAAGTGTTCTCTGTTGCCATTATAGTATTGACTGGTTTGCTCCCAAGTTCATACGAAATACAGTTTCTGCCTTATGATAGCTCCACACATATTTAGTAATTACAAAATGGCATCGTTTTTAAGTTCATAAATTTTGTCTAATTGGTAAAATCACAGTTGCATATGGTTCTTTGTACACTGCATTAAAGGACCACTATAGGCACCCAGACCACTTCAGCTCAATGAAGTGGTCTGGGTGCCAGGTCGTTCTAGTTTTAAACCTCCAGCTGAAAACATAGCAGTTTCAGAGAAACTGCTATGTTTCACTGAGGGTTAATCCAGCCTCTAGTGGCTGTACTCACTGACAGCCACTAGAGACGCTTCCGCAATTCTCACTGTGAAAATCAGAGTGAGAAGATGCTGACGTCCATAGGAAAGCATTGAGTAATGCTTTCCTATGGATGATTTGAATGCGCGCGCAGCTCTTGCCGCGCATGCGCATTCGGCGCTAACGTCGGCAGGGCTCCCTCGGTGCTGGATTAAGGTAAGGGGCTGAAGGGGTTTTAACTCCTTCAGCCCAGCGGGAGAGGGGCCATGAGGGTGGGGGGGACCTAAGGGCTACATAGTGCCAGGAAAATGAGTTTGTTTTCCTGGCACTATAGTGGTCCTTTAAGCATTGCAAAAAGCTTAATTTCAGTTTTCAGCACTGACAGCTATATTTTTGTTGAAATTTTTTTTCCAGAACAAACATATATCTCATAAGTTACTACTGTAACGTATGCCTATAGTTATATGTGAGAAGTATCTACATCAAAAACTGCATTAGCCTTAGCTGGCCATTGCTGCTCAAAATGTTTGATGAAGAATTTCAAGGTATATTCTCTTTCTCACTGTTATCAGAAGGCCACAAAGCCTAAAGCTGACATCACAATATCCCACACCTATCTGTTAATTTTTTTTTTTAGTTTCCCAACTATTCTTAATAATCTCTACCCGAATTCTAGATAATTCAGTTAAAGTAGTTTGCAAGCCACTTAAATTCAGGTTTCCATGAGATCTAGGTTATGACCATTACCCACTACTGTTTGTGAGTCTCTGTACAAAATTATCAGTATAGTCGATAAGGTACTATTGTAATGGCTTTAACATCAACATTGTGTACCAATTATGAAATATGTTACTTTATTTAAATCCATGATCCCCCAAACCCAGTGATACATTTGCTTTATTGCCATATCCAAGGAGTAGCATTTTGATTAGAAATATAACCAGCTTATACTTAGACTACACAAATACAATGTCAATGTTTCTAAAAGTTTATGTAATTTAGTTTAATTTATATAGTTAAAACTGTGTTACATTTATCAGTCTATTGCAATGTTACTGTACATTATGACTAATGGTGGTCTTTGAAATTACCTTTCTATCCTGCTCTTTAATTATAAATACATAAATAAATGATTAAAATGCAAATCAGTGAATTACTCTAGCTTAAAAACAAATTCAATAATACAATGAGAATGGATCAATTTCATTAGACAGCTTCTTAAAAAAATATGGATATTGAATATATATAAGTGATTGATCAAAATATACATAGGTCTTCCATTTCGGAAAATTGAAAACAATTTTTTTTGCTACATTAAAATTTGCATCTTCCAGTCTAACATTACCTGTAATTTCCTTAGGTAATTATTGAGTAAAAAATATGTTCATAATTATTCTTCAGACAAATGTCGAATAAAATATAAAGATACATGTGGATGAGTAACTGTTCTGAAAACACTAGTTTTTCCAAAGATGTTAATGTTGGATACAAATGTACCATAAATTCAAGTGTTCTCTAATATGAACAAGACCATTTATCTCATAGACTTGAAAATTGAACTCAACAAGGCTCATTTCAGCAGTTTTTGTGCAAAGAGTCTTTGTGAGCCAGAGGTTAATGCAGCAATCACAGCCATTAATATTGCTGCCCATAGTTGGAGGAGCATATGCAGGGCCAGACTGTTTGTGCTATTAGAGCCCTGGAATTTGCCCTGACATTATAAATTATGTGACACACACTCGGGAGGGCAGCATGTAAAACTCTTTGCGTTGTAACCACTTCGGTTAGCTGTAGTATAGTGATCTGAATTCCCCTTTAGGTTTAACAGATTTTAGAGAAAATCTAGCACCACACTGAATAGCCTTGTGAACACACGTAATAAACAATATCCAGCTCTGAAACATGTTGCCCACTTAATTTTATATAACTAGTTGCATATATTCTAATTTAGCCCAACAAAATCTAGTTATCAGCTAGACATTCCATCAGTGTTGTGAATAACATAGAAATGTAAAAATACAACAAAACACTGTTCAGATTTGTTCAGTAGTGGGATTTAAGAAACGGGGTGTCTGAGTTATATCATGCTCAAAACAGTGATAACCTGGATAATATTTTCAAGTTTTCAGTTGTTTTTTCATGTTTTCATTACTGTAAACAATTTACAGTTGGGTGGGATTTTACAAGTTGGCTATCTATTAACTTCAAGTTAATGTTTACAAAATAAACCTACATGTTGCTCTTTTGTTTTTTTAGCAACAATGCTTTCGGATTTCATTGACTTTTTCTAAATGCAAACACATTCATATAAATGTTAACTATGAATTGGTAGGAATATAATTTAACCTTTTTTTCAAGTTCATATCATTTGGATTGAAAGAGCACACAAGGTGGCTTTGACAAATCACTAAATTATAAATATTTTTAATTATTATAAAATAACTGGAAAAAAATATTTTATTTTACAACTTAATTCAGACATTCTTACCTGTCTTGCTTCTTTGATCATTCTTCTAACAATTTCTTTTATGGTGAAAGGATGTCCTCTTGGAGGATGAAAATACAAATTTATATCGGTAGCCCCTATTAGTCCAGGTGCTATACATGGCCATCCCAACTCAAGATTTGGTGCTTCTACATCAGATTCAATAGGCCAATAAGTTCCAGAAGATGATGTATCATCAGTTACATCTCCATGTGAATTGTCATTGTTCTCTGTTGGCTTCTTTATGTGATTGGTTATATAGTTGAGTTCATTTTCTGCAAGGAATTCTGCAGCCCCTTCCTTAACAAGACATTCCTGGTATGAAGTCACTCCTCCCTCTATTAATGCCTCAATGGCGACACGATAGTACTCTTTATAGTGGGGTTCAAGAAAGTTTTCTGATTTTACTTCATCGTGCAAAGATGAAAGCAATGACAGAGACTCCATCATTGCAGACATTGTTAACCGCTAATCATGAAAAACCTATAAAAGACAAAACAGAATTCTGTTAATTTGGACAATTCAAATTTATATTTGTCATTAATTAGAAGTATATTCACTATACTACACATGTTGTAGTAAATAGGCTGCAAATTTATAACAGTTAACCACAATACACATACCTAATACAGTAAAACATTGTCAACTCACCAACACATTATTTGGAGAATGTTTTAACCAAACTTAACAACGTGAAATGCAATATTGACGTCTCACTCTAATAAAACACTTCCCATAAAGTACAATTTAATTGTTTCCTGCTTGAACAAATATTCAGATGTATTTCCAGTAATTTGTTTACTTAGAATTGTAGTATTTCAGGCAGTCTGCCATTGCAGTACATTGAATATAGAAAAACACTAAAGAAGCAGTTGTTTATATGTATACATGACTAATTACAAATGAAAATGATTGCCATAGATTGTAATGATTTAAAAAAAATGCATAAATAAGATTGGATTGTTTATTGTATCGTTGTAAAGCATATTAGTACAATGTATTAAATGTCAGGTTTTTTGTTTCAATTTAAGAAATCAAGCATGAAAATTTTAATTCTGTTTTTTAAGATGGTTATTATTTTTGCATAATTAAGTTGATGATTAATTTGTGCCTAATAAACAGCAGTTTAACACTCAGGAGAGTTCCTGGCAAATCATAGGGAGCCCGAATTTAGCATTAAAGCATTAGCAATAGTTTCACACCGAGGACAATGCTGTGGGACTCCAATCACCAAAACCAGTTTAATAAAACGAAGAGGTTACAGTGCCTACGTGCAGTGTACTTTAATGATTTCAGATCTGAACATGAGTTTGACAAATTGTAGCTTTCAGGTACAGCACTGGAATGAAACACATACACTCATCAGCTGAAACATTAAAACCACTGACAGGTTCTAGGGAATAACATTGATTATATCATTACAATGACACCTGTCAAATGGTGGGATATATCAGGCAGTAAGTTAACAGTAAGGTCTTGAATTTCACATCTTAGATACAGTAAAAATGGGCAATTGGGAAAATCTGAATGATTTTGAAAAGGGGCAAGTGATGGCTTGAAAATTGGTTCAGAGCATCTTCAAATCGGCAAGTTTTGTTCGCTGCATCCACTGGTTAGTAACTACCAAAAGTGGTGCAAGAAAAGACAACCAGGGAACCGTCATTAGGGTTATTGGTGCCCAAGGCTCATCGTTGTTTGTGGAGAATGAAGACTAGCCCATCTGGTTTGAAAACACAGAAGAGCTACTGTAATGCAAATTGCTTAATAAATTAATGAGGGGCCAGCCTTGGGCAGACTAGATGGGCCAAATGGTTCTTATCTGCCATCACATTCTATGTTTCTATGTTAGGATAGAAAGGTGTCAGCATTGCAGTTTGCTGAGTACGGGGCTGTGTAGCTTCAGACTGTTCAGGGTGCACATGATGACCCCAATGCACCATTAAAATCACCTTCAAAGGGGACATGAGCATCAGAACTGGACCATGGAGCAATGGATAATGTTCTGATGAATTGCATTTTCTTTTAGATCAAGTGGATGGCAGGATGTGAGTGTGTTGTTTACCTGGGAAAAATATATCAACAAGATGCACTGTCATAAGAAGGCAGGCCGATGGAGGCAGTGTTATGCTCTGGGCAATTCATGGCATGGCATCCTGGCATTCATGTGGATGTTACTTTGACAAATAACACCTACCTAGGGAAAGTTGCAGACTACGTACCCTTTCATGGCATTGATGTTCCCTGATGGCGGTGACCTCTTACAGTAGGATAATGCACCCTGCCACACTACAAAATTGTTCAAGAATAGTTTGAGGAACATTACAAAGAGTTCAAGGTTTTGCCTTGGCCTCCAAATTTCCCAGATCTCAATATGTGGGATGTGCTGGAACAACAAGCACAATCCATGGAGGCCCCACCTCACAACTTGCAAAACTTATAGGATCTGCTTCTTATGTCTTGATCAGTGTATATTCACATTAAGAAAGAACAATCCCAATGATTCCTAAAACTAGAGGGGGACTTATTCCACCCTTTTATCTTGAAAGCATGAAAATGTCACATTTGTGCTTCCTACATGTTTAGGCACAATACATGGCTGAGGGGTGTAGAACATTAAGCCATCTCCTCTTTGTTCATCCTTTGGCCTGAGGTATTAAGAGGTTACAACAAATCATTGGCCAATAGAGAACAAAGGGCAGCCCAGTGCAATGATCACAACAGTGATAAGGTGAGAGAATCAACATAATTACTGCCAACATGTGTCATTTAGTCAGGAAATTGTTGTTTTGTTTTTCTCCTGTGTTGTGGAGTTTACTGTCCATCTATTATTTTATATGGTATTTGTGAGAAGCAAAAATGTTGTTATTTTCTTATTAAAGCTAACTACTAAAATATATAAGGAACATATTAGACTTTAATTGTTATATTAACTCTGTACCTTGTTGATCTGTAGACCTGAGTTCTCTAAACCTCCAAAACTTATTTCACCCAAATGCTACAGGAGTTATGGATTTCCCTGTTCTGATATAGGATCAATAAGGATGCATATGGACCCAGTTTGGAAAACTGGTCTAAATAAAATGATTGTTTTGTACTTGCATGTTAAGTGAAAACAAAGATAAAAATAAAAAAAGACAAGCTGGCACTTGAAACAAAGAATGAAGACATCTAATGGTAAGTATGACATTTTATTTTACAGGGTGTTAGTTTTTGTTATTTTTAGAGTGAGGGGGTAGGTAGAGTTTAATTCTATTGTGGAGGGGGTGACTAGAGGTTTGGGGACCCCTAGTCACTTAAGGGGTTGGTATTTTTTATATTTGGCCCCACCGACCACTCATTGGGTAGGGGATGGGGAGGGGAGACAATAGCCCCCCCCCATTATTTATTTAATTAAGGTCCCCATCTGCCGGTCATGGGTGGGGACATTAGGTCCCCCCCTTTATTTAATTATTTAAGGTCCCCCACCCGCCGGTCATGGGTGGGGGTGTGAGGGGTGGTACTATGTCCACTCCATTTTTGTTATTTGGGTTCCCCACCATGGGGGAACGGCACTAGCGACTGGGCAGCAATAGCTGCCCATTCACTAGTAGTTTTAAATGACAGTGAGCAGCCACTGGCTGCTCGCTGTTTAGGCAACATGCCCCTACTCATGGCAAGCCACGAGCAGGGGCATGCAGGAGTATTTAAACTCTCTTTTATTAGTACGGGGGGGTAGGAATTAATATTATTGATTACAAGAAGGAAGCTGGTAGTGTTGCCGGCTCCCTCTTGCTTTTTTATTTTTGTGCATGCGCAGTGGTATTTTCGTCAAGCACAGCTTAAGTCACTTAACTGTACTTGTAAGAGTCTCCTTGCATCCCTGCACAGGTTTAGTGTCAGTCTGCAGGGAGAACCAATGGTTTTTGTTTCTCCTCCGTGCTGTGGGGCTTAATTCCCCTGCAGCACAAAGTCTATTAAATGAAAGAACTGAAACGAAAAGGTAATGCATTCTGCATTTACCCTTTCATTTCGTTTAGATTTCGTATGTAGGACTTTCATTTACGTTTTAGTAAACAAATACAAAAAAGTCTGCAATTTCGGCCAAATTGTATTCGTACGAAAACGAATGCACATGTCTAATACGTAGTATTATATCGTTGATTGATTAATGTAGAATTGTGTTTAATAGACAGCATTCAATACAAATACACACAGAAGTGTAAATCTTTTGATTACAGGTTAAACATATACATAATGAACTGTCACACCCTGTTTCTAATTGCTGTTACTCAGTTACTCCCCCATCTTAATTACTTGCTTACTTTTTGTTAGATCATACAATTGGCATACTAACGTTTGGAGTCTATCAATACAAATGAACAGAGAATAAATAACAAATGCCATTGTATGTTTTGTTTCACGACATTCCAGCGTTCAATATGCTTCAACTAATAGAAAATAGAATCTACATTTGACGAAATTTACAAGCAACATGGGTTACAAAAAAAAAACTAGAGAAGATTAATTTAAACGTGTCTTTAAGTTAATGACAGTATCTTAAGACCCTGAAGTATAACAACTTTGTTGATTTCCATATTATCTGTTTAAGCCAATAAAACTGTTGATCTTGTTTTAAAACAAGAAATATGATGACATCAATGCAGGTAATTATATTAGTCATAACACAGACTTAAAGAAAAATGTAGAAGTGTCTATAAAATAAGATAGTGTGGGAAAATGCTGACATAAGACACAATCGCACAAGAAATTCAAAGCAATCAAAGAATGATCTAACTTTGTACTATTCTAGAATATCCCTTGTCAAATTAACCCCTTAAGGATGGAGCCAGTTGTACAAGTTGGGATCAAGTCAAAACGTAAAAAAAAAACTGGAATTTGCGCTACATGTTGTTCAACCATAATTCACCTCTTTCGTATTAAAGGACCACTATAGTGCCAGGAAAACATACTCGTTTTCCTGGCACTATAGTGCCCTGAGGGTGCCCCCACCCTCAGGGTCCCCCTCCCGCCCGGCTCTGGAAGGGGGAAAGGGGTAAAAACTTACCTTTTTCCAGCGCTGGGCGGAGAGCTCTCCTCCTCCTCTCCACCTCCGATCCGCCCCGCCGGCTGAATGCGCACGCGCGGCAAGAGCTGCGCGCGCATTCAGCCGGTCTCATAGGAAAGCATTTACAATGCTTTCCTATGGACGCTGGCGTGCTCTCACTGTGATTTTCACAGTGAGAAGCACGCAAGCGCCTCTAGTGGCTGTCAATGAGACAGCTACTAGAGGATTAGGGGGAAGGCTTAACCCATTCATAATTATAGCAGTTTCTCTGAAACTGCTATAATTATGAAAAAATGGGTTAACCCTAGAAGGACCTGGCACCCAGACCACTTCATTAAGCTGAAGTGGTCTGGGTGCCTAGAGTGGTCCTTTAAGTGCACCCACACTTATTATATATCATTTTGTTAAGGAGGAACAGGGGTTTAATTTCATATTACATATTTATATATACACAACATAACTGAATATGAATAAAATCTAAGAAAGGGTGAGATACTAAGAAATTTTTTTAATTTTAAAGATCTGCATGACATTTTAACTATGAATGTCATAATACTGTTAGAGCTTACTGCAATAAAATACACCTATCTTTCAGAGCGATCACATGGCCCGCGGGGGCCTAAATTGCAGAGGGGAACTTCCTGGGCTGTCAGGCAGTACCCTAGAAGCAGATCTCGGCGGAGGTGAGTACTTGCAGGGCGCTGGGGCTCAAAGCTCAAAGGCGTTCAATGCCACTATGACAGCTTTAAAGCCCATTATAATGGGGACAGCATAGAACACCCTAACAGCATTAACAGGTTAAAGGAAAATACTCTTAATCTAATCTAAAACAAACTTTTATTTTAAAATCATTGTAATTAGTTTATTAAATGACTGCATTTCTTTCTTAAAAATAAAAATCTTATTGGCTTCTAAATTCTAGAAATATTCCTCAAGCAACAATTTTCAAGGAAGGGGTGTGTGGAGGAGGGGGATGATGAATCATAATTAAGTAAATGTGACATAGGAACAACATGAAAGTCACAGCCTCACCCTGCTTTCATTTCAGTGTGACACAACACAAGAAATATTTAGCATTGCTGCTCTTTTCAAAGCATTTATTTAATAAGCTACACCACTTATTTCAACTCATAAATGATCAAAGTTTCTTCAAAAGCATCTGCCATTTTACTTTTTTAATTAATATACCCGTGTGTTTTAAAGCTTCCAAAACCTTGGACTCATGGCAAATATTGGAATTCCAGTTATGTGTAACTGTTTATATCTGTGTGGCCTGTGCTCTTCAAGATCTAACAGTTGATTGGTCTTCCAATGTATTTTGCCTCAACCCAATAGATATAACAAACATAAATGGGTGATAATAAAATCCTCAGGTAAGAATAGACAATACTTGCAATAATTTGTTACTACTTGACTGGAAACATGTGCCCCCCATTAAAAAGCCAGAGTATGTAGAAGAGAAAAGTATTAGATAAACTATCCAGACACTGGTGGTCTTCTTACATATGAAAGATTACATCCACTTATATCTGATGTATCAAACTATTTTAGCATTAGGATTTTAGTTTTGATACTAAATTTTACAGTTTAGTAGGCAGTCTCACTTGGATACTTTCTTGCTGCTAATTTGTATCTGTTTTGCATTTAAACATCAATTTTACTGCATGAGGTGTATTCTACATGAATTATTTTTGTTTAGTTGACATACCCTTTAGACCATTCAGTGTGCTGCTATTGATTTATACAGCCTTCCTATATATATATATATAGCCATCCTATATATACACACACACATATATATATATATATATATGTGTGTGTGTGTGATAGACTATTTAGTTTACTAGCAATTTATTTATTCTTATTTATATCAACTCCTGATATGTATATTAGATTTTGGTCTTTTTACACATCATTCGTTATTTGTCAGCATTGAATGTGTGTGCTGTTTTATTACCAGTTGTTTAGGAGATATAGATTGAGACCTTACCATTTTGTCTTTTCCTTCCCCTATATAACCGAGAGATATTACTACCCCTTGTGTTACATTTTTTATCTTAACATTTATCTGTGTATATATTGCTACATAGTTTCATATCTATGTGGAAACATTATTCAAAGATTGAATACTGACATTGAAATACAAACTTTGTTTCTACTATTGGGACTATTATAATTTTGCAAAAATATTATTAATTGATTTTTTTGTATCTCTTAAAGTAACATCTTATGCACCATAATTACTCATGTACCAGTTAGATTTTATCTAATACTTTTCTATTATATGGTGTGTTTCCTGTTAGTCATAAAATAAATGGGTGAATTAAAAAAACAGAAGACAGTCCACGGAACCAAGATAAGATATTTCAGCTTTCAACATTAAAACAAGTTTTAAAAGAAATCAATGACACATGCTTTTATTCCACTGCTGGTACAATCTCCCCATTTCAGTGAAGGATGAGTTCAAAATATAAAATATTATAAAGTATGATAATGAGCCTAACCTTAAACAACAAACACATGGTAAACACCAGATAAAGATATTGAGCTCTTAGCAGAAAAAAACATTAATAAATAAGTGGTCAAGACACCAAAGGATGTATGCTCACCTACCTTAAATCCTTATAGACTGTAATCTGCTTTTATCAGTGCCTTCTTCATCATAAAATATCCCATTTCTAGCTACAGACTATATTGGCGTTGTTTATAAGTAAACAAATATATATATATATATATATATATATATATGTATACAGTATCTCACAAAAGTGAGTACACCCCTCACATTTTTGTAAATATTTTATTAAATATTTTTATGTGACAACACTAAGGAAATGACACTCTGATACAATGTAAAGTAGTAAGTGTACAGCCTGCGTTCAGCCTGTGTAAATTTGCTGTCTCCTCAAAATAACTCAACACACAGCCATTAATGTCTAAACCGTTGTTAAGTGAGTACACCCCTAAGTGGAAATGTCCAAATTGGGCCCAATTAGCCATTTTCTCTCCTCGGTGTCATGTGACTTGTTAGTTTTACAAGGTCTCAGGTGTAAATGGGATGCAGGTGTGTTAAATTTGGTGTAATCACTCTCACATTCTCTCATACTGGTCACTGGAAGTTCAACATGGCACCTCATGGCAAATAAGAAAAATAATTGTTGCTCTACATAAAGATGGCCTAGGTTATAAGAAGATTGCCAAGACCCTGAAACTGAGCTGCCACATGGTGGGCAAGACCATACAGCAGTTTAACAGGACAGGTTCCGCTCAGAACCGGCCTCACCATGGTCAACCAAAGAAGTTGAGTGCACGTGCTTAGCATCATAGCCAAAGGATGTCTTTGAGAAATAGATGTATGAGTGCTGCCAGCATTGCTGCAGAGGTTGAAGGGGTGGGGGGTCAGCCTGTCAGTGCTCAGACCATATGCCGCATACTGCTTCAAATTGATCTGCATGGCTGTTGTCCCAGAAGGAAGCCTCTTCTAAAGATGATGCACAAGAAAGCCTGCAGATAGTTTGCTGAAGACAAGCAAACTAAGGACATGGATTACTGGAACCATGTCATGTGGTCCGATGATAACAAGATAACAAGATAAGGTTCAGATGGTGTCAACCAGGTGAGGAGTACAAAGACAAGTATGTTTTGCCTACAGTCAAGCATGGTGGTGGTAGTGTCATGGTCTGGGCCTGCATGAGTGCTGCCGGGAATGGGGAGCTACAGTTCATTGAGGGAACCAACATGTACTGTGACATACTGAAGCAGAGCATGATCCCCTCCCTTCGGAGACTGGGCCACAGGCCAGTATTCCAACAAGATAACGACCCAAAACACACCTCCAAGACGACCACTGCCTTGCTAAAGAAACTGAAGGTAAAGGTGATGGACTGGCCAAGCATGTCTCCAGACCTAAACCCTATTGCGCAACTGTGGGGCATCCTCGAACGGAAGGTAGGGGAGCGCAAGGTCTCTAACATCCACCAGCTCCGTGATATCGTCATGGAGGAGTGGAAGAGAAACATAGAAACATAGAATTTGACGGCAGATAAGAACCATTCGGCCCATCTAGTCTGCCCAATTTTCTAAATACTTTTATTAGTCCCTGGCCTTATCTTATAGTTAGGATAGCCTTATGCCTATCCCACGCATGCTTAAACTCCTTTACTGTGTTAACCTCTACCACTTCAGCTGGTAGGCTATTCCATGCATCCACTACCCTCTCAGTAAAGTAATACTTCCTGATATTATTTTTAAACCTTTGCCCCTCTATGTCCTCTTGTTGTGGTAGTTTTTCTTCTTTTAAATATGGTCTCCTCCAGGACTCTAGCGGCAACCTGGGAAGCTCTGATGAACTCCATGCCCATGAGGGTTAAGTCAGTGCTGAAAAATAATGGTGGCCACACAAAATATTGACACTTTGGGCCCAATTTACTTTTGTTGCCAACGGTTTAGACATTAATGGCTATGTGTTGAGTTATTTTGACGGGACAGCAAATCTACACTGTTATACAGGCTGTACACTTACTAATTTATATTGTAGCAGAGTGTCATTTCTTCAGTGTTGTCACATGAAAATAAATAATGAATATTTTCAAAACTGTGAGGGGTCTACTCACTTTTTTAGATACTATATATATATATATATATATATATATATATATATTTATTTATATATAAAACACAAGATCCAGCGCACTCACCTATCCACTAAACAGCAACTTCAATGTTGAAAGATTTTATTAGTTTTAATAAAATCTTTCAACATTGAAGTTGCTGTTTAGTGGATAGGTGAGTGCGCTGGATCTTGTGTTTTGTATTATTTGGCCCCCAGCAGTACCCCCATTTATGCATGTTCAGGTGAGTGCAGCCAACCCCCCCTTGTTTCATATATATATTTTTTTATATATATATATATATATATATATATATATACTGGATATTCCTTGCACTCAAGCTCTGTTATTCATATAATGCTGGGTGTCGTAGCCTGTGCTCAGGTAAACCCACTTCCAAACGTTAGGCTGCTCTCACGGTCTTCATAAAAGCCTAAATACTTTATTTCAAAAACGTTGATCTGCTAAACTGTGATGCAGCAGTATTAATAGTAGTTTACTTATCCACCGAACCATGAGTACAAGTGGGGGCCAATGTAACATGAGAAGTCACCTCCATAACCCACAATTACCATTCAGAACTCTGTGAAATGTTTTCTTATTACTTCACCATACATGTGGATAGATAATAGTTAACATATGGAGCCAAAACCCTCTTCTGCTTCTATAACATAGTTGATATTATAGAGACATTTCTTCAACACAAGAATCCACTCTTCTTTTACATTATTTGTAGTGGTGAAAGATTAATAATAGAAACTGGGAGTCCCATTTTCTAAGGATAGGGCATTTTGTTTAAAAGACTAGTTCCTTCTTAATCACCTGTTAACAGATGAAAATTTCTCACCCTGGTGCAACTCTAGCTAGCTAACACATTCAATAAACAAGGAAGCACATTCATGGAATTTTCTGAAGGAAAATCTTCAGTGCTTTATTTCATAAAAAACAGGCAATGGCATACATTTCAACATTTTAGTCTCACACACAATATGAAAGGTACTATTCCAGAAGGTAATCAACTTACATTGCAACTATCCTCCTTAAATGTTATTTTAGTAGTAGACAGGATACCTAGCATGTTTAGCACTAAGAATATCTAATGATGCTAATGAATATGTGTTTATGTCTTCTAATCTTTTCTAACAAAGGTCAACTGATATCCACATATCATCATGTTTGGCCAGGGCAGCAAAGACAAACAAATAGCCTTTTCTTGTGCCATCAGAAAGACAGAAGGAAACTGTTGTATTCAATTATATATTTTAAACTTCTATCAATATTACCTGTTCAGAATTTGAAGATATAGCAAGCTCCATGGCTACCAACGGCAACTGGTGTGCTTTATGAATGACATCTCACCCTGCATGGTCAGCCACAGATACTGCAGTTCAACAAGAGAACATTTAATGGGTGTGCCACTAGACTATGTATAAACTCAAGCAGTGCTGAGACAGCAAAAAAAACTTTCCCAATCTTGTCTGCAGTCCTACTCTTTCTACCAACAAACATTCTAGCACAATCCCAGTTATTTTAATTAGCAGAAAAACAATGTGAGGCTACATTCACAACCCAAGTGTTCCTGCGAGTTTATTGTCCTTTGACCCCTGAGAAGTGATTAACGATGGGATGGAGGAAAGTAGAGATAGAGAAGACATGGCTCTTGGCCACAATTCAGAGAGAAGCATAAGTAGTGAGAGATGTGGGTGAGTGACAAATGTGGGTGTGATATATAATAAGAGGGGAACTCATAAGAGCAGGGAAACAAGTTTGGGGAAAATATGTTTGTAAACAGATTAGGTGTGAGACACAAGTGAGGAATAATTGGGAAAAGAGACACAAAAAAAAAACACAAAAGGGTTACTCCAAGAACCATGACTACATCAGTATTTTGAAATGGTCATGGTGCCTGGTGTCTGTATGTACAGCATTTAACTTTGAAACACTGCACATACAGAGCTTAAACCCTCTGCTGCTGCTGGAGTTGTTAATTCTCCTCCAACTATCATTGGAGTGCCATTAGCTAGACTGGAACAAAAGTTCCAGGCTGGATAATGTCAATGTTGTGCATATACCTATGCATAACATTGCATTCATTGGCTGAGAGTGATCAGCTGATGCTCTAAGCCAATGAATACCCAGCAGGATTGTCTTACAGTTTCTGCAGCTCTGCAGAAGTTGGATGTAGTCACTGGGGACTAGAGGACCCTCAGCACCTAGCAGGCACCAATGTAAGGTATCAAACAGGGCCTGGGTACAGTGAACTGCAATGGTTATGATTCTTGGAGTAAAAGTCATCATCAGAAATTCATCCTATATCATAATATAATAATTTGATATTAAATATATAAAACAATGACAGGCTGATGTTAAACAGCTCTCGAAGTGAGTTTGTAACATGTTTTTTATTTTTTTTTATTTTATTTTGAGATTATGAAAATGTTTGCCTTGTTTATACAATGGCCCTAATGACAGTCTGTATGACAGACATTTGTTTGGAATTACATTCAACACCACTTACAAAGAGATTATTCACTAAACCTTAAAGTGCAATAAAATTGTGAAATGCAACCCTAAAAGACAAAAGTTATAAACATTCTAAATAGAGACATATTCCTATGAAGCTGTTTTCACAACTATGCCTTTCAGTTTTCAATTCACTGCAATGCACTGCATAGTGAAAAAAACTCTCAAAGAATGATTAAAGTTGAGCCTGAAGTTGTTTGTACAGCAAAATAAGATAAGACATTCCTGGAAATACCTGCAGGCATTACAAAGGAATGCAGCTTATGAAACTAAAAGGGGAAAAAAATATATATACATATAAAGGGTTAACACTCACAGGTTTTCCAACAGTGTTTTATTATTTAGCAAAGAAATTCCAAATCAACTGTGTATAAGAATAGATGTTTCGGCCTGTTCGGGCCTTTTGAAAAATCCCAGTGTGTATATACATACAAGTGTTTACAGTATATGATCATACATCACATAAGCCTACCACAATGTCAATGTACCCCTTGCCAAGAATGGGGCACATTTGCGTTGTGGCAGGCTTATGCAATGTATGATCATATACTGTAACTAAACCCCCATTATTTTTTGCCTAAATGAGGTGTCTTTTTAGTGAATAAGCGAGTGCACTGGATCTTGTATGTTGAGTATATATATATATATATATATATATATATATATTTGTGGTCGGAAACATAATAGTAGTATGTATCATTTGGTGGTGGTGATAAGTCAGTTGTGGTGTGCCAAAACCGGCGTATAGGTAGACCTGTAGATTGAAGAGGGCCCACCAAAGAGAAGATTGGAATAACTTAATTAATTAAGGAATGAGGCAGGCGGAATGACCTGAAACAGAATGGCCCAGGTAGGAGGGAGGATAGGGTTTTTATAGGCCAAACTCCTTGCACAAATACAGGCCTTTGGCCTTAAAACTTGTGGACTGAAACATAAAGTAGTATGTATCAATCGGTTGTGATATGCCAAAACCAGCGTACAGGTAGGCCTGTAAATAGAAGAGGGCAAAAGGTAACAAAGGAAAAAACACTCTTATTGCAGCATAGCAAAGCTTCCCTGAGTTATTTTTCAAGTTTGGGAATGTATTCGCTATAGACTGAGGATTTCCATCTCCCCAGTTTCTTGATGATATGTATTTCTTGATGATATGTACTGTGGTGTCAATGCTGGAGGCTGTACATTCTGTCTATTTCCTGAATGAATGGTCAGAAAAGGATGATGGATTGTAGCCCAGTCTCAAGAGTAAATTCCTAACATAAAATATGATTTTGGAGGCACTGAGTTGGTAGCCGTGAAGTAAGAGTAAAAGGGAATTAGGGGGTTACCTTGATAACTGTAATCAGGTATGCCTCATATTCAATTGGGCACCAGTTGTTGTCTGTGGGAAAAACTGGAATTGTAGATGGATGTTGGTTTGTTTAAATGGTTTGAAGGGTGAGTACATAGTGTTTGTTATGCTTAATAATATTTGACGTCTTGAGACTTAGGTTACTTCTGTCTGACGTACTACTGTGAATTTCCTGGTCCTTAAGAATCAGTAGAAAGCTCTATATATATATATATATATAAGTTTTAATCACGTTTTTGGTGTGACTCTCGAATAGGTTAGTATCCAACAAGTTGGAGAGGCCTCTGAATATAGGGCCCTCTATAGGTGGTCTGTTTGAAGTAGAGGGTCTATCGGTTTTATTGATGAAGATATATATATATATATATATATATATATATATATATATATACACATATATATATATATATATATATATATATATACACATAAATATGTACACATATACATAAATATATATATATATATATACATATATATATAAATGTATATATATATATATATATATATATACACATATATATATATATATATATATATATATATATATATATATATATATTAGAAAATAAAGGGAGCACTCTAGGACTTCTTTTCAGTGGAAAAAATATATTTTACTGTATCATCAAGTAATACATATTCTGTGCAGAGTATAAAAAAAAATCGACGTTTCGACCCTCATGGGGTCTTTATCAAGATGTTTATATATTTATGTATAAGTTTTTTATATACATAAAAGGAGAACAAAACAAGCAGAATAGCTAAATAAATTCATAAAGTAAAACAATGTAAAAAAGGCATGTTCTGATATGTATTCTGAAATGTAAAAAAAATAATTTTTAGTGTACATGGATTTCTAGACAATCAGGTCAGACAATATTGCTAAATAAGACAGGGAGTTATCCTCAGTAGCTACTATTAATCTTACAAAATTACACTTATTGGCAGCAGAGAGCAAAACACAAGCTTCTTAGTCATCCTATCTCTGATCACTTTACTGCGTAGCATTGAAACATGTCTAGCAAGAACAAACATTATGTTTACAATGTTAAAGTAACCATGTTAAATTAAGCAATCAACCTTGGAAAAGTGTTAGTCTTATTTCTAGATAGAACAATTGTTTTGTCGTAATCAGAGAGTACACGTTATTTAAACTAGCTCAACTACATGCTACAGAATAGAGCTACATACATTGAAAAACATGTTTAGCAAGAACAAATATCATGTTTACAATGTTTAAGTGTCCATGTCAAATTAAGCAATGAACCTTGGAAAATGATTAGACTCATTTCTAGGTAGAACAATTGTTTGGCTGTTATCAGAGAGTGCAGATTATTTAATCTAGATCAACTACATGTTACAGAATAGAGTTATTTACAATAAAAAAGAAATAAAGGTGGGATTGAAACTTTAGGGTTTTTTCGTCAAACAGTTTTTATGGGTTACTGTTTACTCATTAAACAAAACTTTTGAATTTCATTTTTTATTCCAATGCTGCTAATCTGACTTCAGATTTGTAATTCCCTTCATTACAAAGCAATGTTTATTGAACAGGAGCAATAATTCACCGCTCCCGATTTATCCCATCTCAATCTCTAATTATCTGTATGCGTATATGTATAATGAATGCCATATCGCACAATGCTGCACAATATTAAAATTACAATTCATTTAAGTATGAGGATCTATACCCTCTTTTAATATTCTTATATTCAGATATATTGTAATTTTGTGAAGTGTTTATTTTGTTTCTTTTAGTGTGTGTGTTTAATATGTACTTATGTGCAGGATAGGCAACTGACGGCAGGTTGCATATGATAGAAATAGAACAGCTGCTCGACAGATGCTCACTATCCCTGGTTATCTATTTATTGCATGTAGGATTTAATACATTATAGCAGTCTGCAGGTGCCTGAAGGTAGAAGTTGAAATTCTGTTGTATTGCAGTTTTACATTTCTTGGTCAATTAATTGCGTGCTTCAGCATCTAGGTTATAATTAAACTGCACCTGTCACACAGAAATTATATGGCAGCAACTTATAGACAATACAAATTAATCTATACATTGTGCTAGCCATATGGCAAATGTATACATACAATTTAAAATTGTAACTGAATATTTCAATGCATAGCTCTGTAGGGTAAACAGAATAATTGCCTTTTTTGTTGTAGATTTTAAATTAATGTTGTATTAATTGTGAAGTCCTGAAAATTTCCATGTGTCATCATTTAAAAAAAACCCTGAAAATCTAAACAGAAACAGTCTTATAACGTGATTGGCTGACACTTGGTAAAGTGCTATAAATTAAATTAAATAAACTCCAATGTCTAGATACAATATATCCAAAAGAAGTAAGGGAGCTCAGAGTAGCAATAGCCAAATAACTTTTTTCCATTTTTCAGAATTATTTTTTTTCAGGAATTCTAAAAAATCACCGGCATAATGTGGTGAATATATAAACCCCAAATGACATACTTGTGAACTTAACATGTGTGGAGGCTTTTGTTAAAGGGACACTGTAGTCACTATAACCACTTTGTCTCTTTGAAAATGGTTATAGTGCCTGGAGTGGCCTGGCACTTTCCCTCCATTCAGTGTTGCACCATGTTTGTGCAATATGCCACAAAATAAGAGTCCCTGGCCACCCACAGTCTGGCCCCTTCTGTATGTGTAGCTAAGGCAGAGAATGCACACTTCCTTGTTGTCATACCCATTCATACCGTCAGTTGGAGCTCTGACAGGTTAAAAGCAGTCAGCTGACACACTCAGCCAATCACAGCTGCCCATTGCCTCTCAGGGTAATACTTCCTTATTAGCCAAAGCAGCACAGAGGGGATAGACTGCTGTGGACTCTTGTTTAGCATTAAAACATTACAACATTAAAAATTGTTTAATGCTGAAAGAAATTATGGTACCAGGGGACTCCAGACACTATAACCAGTTTAATGAGATGAAGCAGATACAGTACCTACTGTGTCCCTTTAAGGGTTTACATGTAAAGTGATGGAAAAAAGTATTTGATCCCCTGCAGATTTTGAACGTTTGTCCACTGACAAAGAAATGATCAGTTTATAATTTTAATGGTAGGTGTATTTCAACAGTGAGAGACAGAATAACAAGAACAAATCCAGAAAAATGCATGTCAAAAAAGTTATAAATTGATTTGCATATCAATGGGCCCACACTGTTATGTATGTCTGGATGCTGCCTGAGGCAGTGTAAATTAACTCATTCATTGCTTTGAGTTCCTCTCTTCTGGTAAACCAGGGTCACAAAGAGGGCAAGTCCAATTGTTACCCGAATACAGGAATCAGATGTTTAGCTTTTTATAGGCAGAGGTTGCAACTGTGGTATGGTGAAGGGATACAGGGCTTATCAGAGGGGGTTATCAGAAAACATTTTAAAAATGTCATGAATCATCTCAGAGAAAAGCACTGTCTGAGAGCAGTCACAGCTTACATGACAGAAGGTATGTGGGGCAGTTTGGCACCTCCATCATGGAAAGGATTTATTATTTGTAAGATCGGTAAAGAGATGTACCATAGTACATGATTTTATAAGCTGATTTGTCTGTTCTACTAGTGACTGAACAATGATGTACTAAAAAAAAAAAAAAAAACTGTTTGCCATTAAGGCATTATAAAAGTTGGTGGAGAGTGGCTTGAAGTGAAAAAAATCCCATGCTCCAGTTGTCTGGGTCCAAGCACACAAAAAGGCAAGAAGAGTGTGGTAGCAAAATTATTGCATGAAAGTTGATGGGGAGCCTCTAGTAAGAGACCAAAATGGAATGTATACCTGACTTAAGTTTGTATTTGACCTAATAAAGCTACAATCTAGGTTGTAAGCCAGTAGATTTAGGGGGAATGGAAAAGGAGAAAGTTATGATGACAGCACTTTAGAATGCAAGGTGGAAATATACCATATTTCAAGCACAGTCTCCCTATCTCAACCAAAAGTCAAGCCTAGCTATGCACCAATATCTCTCAACGTAGAAATTCCTTCAAGTTTTACAGGACACCAACATCTACTGTATGAGCCCGCCATTACAATTCTGTATGTCCATTTTTCACATTCCACTCCTACCATTTCAGTACATTCAGCACCCACTTCTCTTACTCAATAAGCCAATAGACAATCAATTTCAGAGGCCATGTTCACATTTAGGAACTTACTTTTCATCTACCCAGTACTCGTCATACAAGCTTCGATTTATCATAGTTCCTATGGTCTTTCACTATCTTATTTATTTATTTATTTTTGAAGATAGAGATTTCACTTTTTATGTGACAGGTTTTGACTGGCCTTGATCTCATTTTATAGATCTATAGATCCATATTACATATATTAGATTATAGATCTATTATCTGTCTGCCCATCCCCTCATTCAGCCACCTGTCAATTGATTAATCTATGTCTCTGTATAATTTGTTTTATACCTATTTGGTTTCTGATTTAAAAAAAAAAAAAACACTTTATATAACTGCAATGAAACCCAAACTATCAAACTATGGTAGGAGTGAATGGTGTCCCAACACAAGAAAGAACCTTGCTGCAGAAGATTGCAATTTCTGTCAAGCTTTGCCAGATCTTGTTAAAACATGGGAGATGTGAATGCTGGAGTGCTAGACACGGGAAACCAGCAGTTTCCAACTGCTAAGGTCCATAACTCCAATAACTCCAACTTCAAACAGACACTGAACATAATGGAAAATCCAAATTGCATTAGAGTTTGGATTTCTTTAAAATAATTGCAGCATTGGGACATTGTTGGAAGACAATATACACAGGTATCACATTTTATTCTTTTAGTACTTGCTGATCTCAGAGATCTTCCTTCCCCCATTCCACAACCCTTCTTCCATCCCATGCTAACAGCCTCCCTCTAAGGAAAGAAATATTTCTAGTCTCCTGCTCATTAGCAACAATGCTGAATAGCAGGAATCTTCTTTCAGCTATGAAAGTAGCTTCTCTCTTCATACAAACACCTCTCTGGAGTTGCTGCTTCAATCCTTCTCTCTAGTATCAGTTAGTAGGAAACATTCTTCAGAACACAGCAGGTCTGTTACTTTAACAGATCTCAGGAAGATATTTCAAGGGACATTTAGACCGGAGGGCTTCCAGGTGCCATCATTTAGCTTGAATCTGCTCTCCAATATTTTTATGGTCCTCTTTATAACAGCAACGGAAAAGCATTTTATTTGGGACTTAAAGCGATCATATAGTGCCAAGAAAGCAAAGGCATTTTCCTGGCTCTATAGGGTTAATAGGTTCCTCCCTCCCTTGTGCCCCCCCTCCCGTGGGGCTGAAGGGGTTATAACCATCTGCCGGCGGGGGAGACCTAATGCGCATGCGCGGCAATGGCCACGCACGCATTAGACCTCCACATATGAAAGCATAATTCAATGCTTTCCTATGGTGAAAATCTGATGCTGGATGTCCTCATGCAGAGTGCCCAAAAGGCCGTTTGGATTCTGGAAGTGCCCCAAGTTGCTGGGCTTGTCACTAAATGCAATAGGGACCCTGCACCCAGACCACCTCAATGTGCTGAATGAGTCCCTTTAAGGTCACTGTTGAATTAATTAAATCAAGAAAGTCTCACCTTTTTTCCTTGTGTGAAAGATAGCTCTACACACTTGTGAAAAAATTGCTAGGTAAATATAAAATTTAACAGTGAGCAACAAAGTGCTTTATAGGGTTTAGGTGATATCCATCTCCTATCCACAAAACACAACAGTGTACAGTGCAGCACTAATAAAGAGTTGTTTTTTTCATGCAAACAGATCAGGGCTTACTCATAGGGCTATGCAGCATGAGAAACATAGAATGTGACGGCAGATAAGAACCATTCGGCCCATCTAGTCTGTCTAATTTCCTAAATACTTTCATTAGTCCCTGGCCTTATTTAATAGTTAGGATAGCCTTATGTCTATCCCATGCATGGGTAAACTCCTTTACTGTGGTAACCTCTACTACTTCAGCTGGAATGCTATTCCATGCATCTACTACCCTCTCAGTAAAGTAATCCTTCCTGATATTGTTTTAACACTGTATGCTGTTGTGTTTTGTGGAAAGGAGGTGTATATCACCTAAACCCTATTAAGCAACTTTGTTTTGTTCAATGTTCGATTTTTGGGGATTAATAGGTGTACTCTTAGAGTGCTATAGCTGCTAACATAACATTTGATTTGAGTTTAAATTTACATTAAGTGCCTTAATTAAGTCACACACACAACCTTTTTTATTTTAAATATAAAATGTTATCTATATATTTGGTGATAAATTGACTAAGCAATTTTTAGGTTCACTGTAACACCAACCTTAAATGGAATTCTTGCTCACCTCTAAGGACAATAGCTCCACCGTAAAAACAAATTTATTATGGATATTTAAGGGACATTTACTTTGGAATGTGTTGTACACTCTTGTGGAATTTAAACAATTAAATTCTCCATGACACGATATGTCAGATGTATATATATATTTTTTTTAATGTGATTACCTGTGTTGCAACACAAAGTAGAGACAGTGGTCTAAACTTACTGAAAATGTAAGCTTGGTTTGACACTCAAGTTTACAATTTAGCAAAAACACTTTTGAAAACAGACAACAAATCAAAATGTACATCATGAAAACTAGCTGTTGGCACAATATTTGTATTAATAATCAAAATCAAATTTGATACTAGAATAGCTGAGCTTGGAAAGTTCTATAAGTAAGGCCTTCATTTAATATTGTTGGATAAGCTTTTCAAATGATTGAATACTTTGGATACATTTTTAAAAAGATTTTTTTAAAATATTAAAATATCAAAAATGTGTTTAATGTTGTTAGAAGCACTAGACATATGTTGTCCGAATTTGCAAGCGTCTAAATTTGAGAATTAATGGAAAATTTAAAATGAACAGATCTGAACTGAATGAAAACAAATTGTTTGAATCCATTCATTTTGACAAGATAGGACAGTAGGGAGTTATCTACTAAACAGCTGAAAGAGCAAAACTAAGCCGTTTATTACCTAGTTCCCTAATTTGCTATTCTTATTTATGACAATCCTACGTAAGGATAGCAATTACTTTTCGTAATTTTATTCTTTTTGATGTTAAGTAGATAATTCCCAAATTTGCTGTTGTTACGTGGGATTGCCATAATTAAGAATACCAAATTAGGGAGCTATTTGCTAAACAACTGAAAGTGCTAAAATAAGAAATGGGCTTTTCTTAGTTGTAATCTATCAGCAATTTAGCAAATAATTTGAATGTATACCCTTATGTGGGATTGGTCTAATTGAGGATACCAAATTAGGGTGCTATTTTGCAGCTAGCTCCCTTATTTGGTTATTGGTATACTAATGGCAATCCCAAGTAAGGATAGCAAATTACAAAGTTATCTACTAAACAGCTGATTTATCAAATTTAGCAAATAACGTCCTAAATAGTTACTTTGTAACTTTGTGATTCACATCATTTCACACAGTCAGTGAATAGTTGGCATCCAAATTTCTGAATTTCGGATGGACTGAAATTTTAAAATAAATAAATCGTAACAATGTTTTTTTTTTTTTCTTTGAACATCTCCGTGAAAAACTTTTCAAATGATTTGCTTGTAGAAACTTACCATTAAAGTCTAAAGGAATTTTTATAGATAAATCTTTTGGAAAGTTATTTTTTTTTACAGTATTGAATCATTTTGGAAAGCTTATTAAACAAGGCCTAATTCATAGTTAAGTGAGTAAGCTTGTAAGTGCAAAGCTTTCCAACCTATGTTTTGCCTCACATTTCTGTCCTTTCACCCAAATATCTGACAGCTTAACAATGCATTGTGTAAAACATGTAATTAGTGTGACCATATAGCAGCATGTAACAAGCAGAAAGATGATCATTGATCAGGCTTTTGTTTTTCAATGTAAAAATTATAAAAATAAAGTATACATTTGTTATGGTGCAATATGATGGGCGATCATGTTTTCAAATTCCATACTACATGGCGCATGACTACACATCTTAAATTCAAAACTACATTGTGAGACTAACACTATGCTGTGAAGGGGTTTCTGACCTTAGTCTAGCATTGCAAATTATTTATCCCTCACAATGGGAGCTACATTACTGGTAGCAATTTGCAGCTGCCTCCATTAATTCTGCACAAATCTGAAATTGAAAAACTGGAAGAGGACTAAGGAGACAGAGACAGTGAGAATCTGCTTCCCCAACTACTCTGCTAGTGTGTACATTTTGGAGCAGGGGCTGACTTTAGGAGAGCAGTCAGAATTATCAGCTGCTGCCCAGAAGTATAACTCTCACTAATCAAGGACAGCACTAGGACATAAATGGTGCTGCCCTAAGACTAAAAGGATTCTAGCTACATAATGCATCCCTATGATTAGTAAAAACTCTAAATCACTGATTTATGAGATATTCTTCATGAAAAAAATAATGAAGTGTATAATATTTCAGGGACTTTCCAAGAAAAAAAGTTTAATGGGAAGAAAATCAATGAAGTCTGAACATTTTACTTTATAAAGCTCTAGATCAGCACTATTAACATACATTATTAAAATAAATCAATCAGTGTCATTGACTAATGTGTGAATTGTCAGGAATTCAAAGGTAATTAAAAGTGATTTTGAAATTTTAGTACACGGTAGCTAAATGATAAAAAGTTATTTCTGTTTTTAGTTTGAATACTTCAATTTTAAATTCACGTTGAATTCCCTATTCATACATTAGTGAATACGCCTAGATCTGCTTAGTCTGCTTTGCTAATCCAGGTGTATAGACATTCAGTGTTAGACAACGTATTGTAAGCTGGAGACACATTTAAACTTTGGCAGTGCAAAGCAACATTAAACTGTTAAAAAGCTGAGTCAAAATAGAAAGTGATTTTTTTTTATTTCACAAGAAAAGAGGTACAAAAATAACTGAATTACTTACCATTTAATTTGAAAGGGGTACAAATGTTCCTTGGGAGAAGCTCTCACGGCACAAGAAGTAATCCGAATGTGTCACTCTGCAGAAAAGCTATGAAAGAAATGTGTCTGTGTTTGGCAATACACTGTAAAGACAGCCTTTGGCAGACAGGTGTGTTGCTGCTTACCTGTTGTAACATGCAAATGATTTGTCATTCGAAACCAGTTGAATGTGAAACCTGTTCCAGCTAAAAGCCCATCCCTTTCATAGCAAGGTAAGACACAAAGAGCCAGACATTATTGGAGTTTAAAATGAGCACAGCAAACTTAGTTTAAAGATAGTGGGGGAGGGACTTCTAGTAATGATTTTTATCAAAGCTACAAATGGCACCTTCAGGGTAATGTCACGGCAGAATCCTAACTTCCAATTTAAAAAAACAATTGTCACAGAAAGTGATTTTTGATACATAGCATTTATTAATGTACGCCTCTCTGTCAAGCTGTTATTGACGTGATAGCTCCCATTGAATCAGCTCCTGTGAAAATATCTTAGTCAGCATTTTCTCCTGTGTTCATGTTCCTTCTAGTTAATTACACTCTTGCCACTTCCAGTCCATGCAACTGCAGTCAATTTCATTATAAGTGAAGTTATTACAGTTTACACACGAAATGTCTCATTTAAACGTCAAGCCAGCATGCTGCTTCGAAGCTGACAGTGTTCCACTTAGACTGGACAAATGCTGTCTAAAATGTAACTTTTCATTTACCTACACAGCTAAGGCAAAGCCTGGTCTTTGAAATGGAACTTGAAATGCATTGGGAGATTTTAAAGGGCTTATTATAACATTTTAACCTTTATCTATATTTGGACAGGATTTTAGCATTGGATTTTAAGAGGAACTCCATGCTGGAAAAGTTCCCTTTATTTAAATGCATTAAATAGAAACACATTAAAGAAACATCCAACACTGGAAATACATAAATGTATCACAAGACAGGAAGGTTCATATTTTAGATTCCGTCCTTACCCCATCTACAATAAGCAGCAAAAAAACAAACAAACAAAAAAACACAGTAACAGATTCGCCAATCAGAATAAAAAAAAAAAAAAAAACAGATGATAAAAGGACAAGCAGTCAGTGACACTTCCTGTTTCTTTGTTGCTCTAGATCAGGGCTGTCCAACCTGTGGCCCCCCAGATGTTGCTGAACTACAACTCCCATGATTCCCTGGCTATCTGTTTCATTGAAAGACTCATGGGAGTTGTAGTTCAGCAACATCTGGGGGGCCGCAGCTTGGACAGGCCTGCTCTAGATCATGTCAGAATATTGCTCTCTAGTATATACACTCTATAACCATATTAAGTTTTATTCTATCTATATTATTACCATTTATACCTATTAGTAACATTATTCCATTCAATTTTTTCACACTAATATATATATATTTGTATTCCCTTTATTTCTAATTTTTTTCAAATCTATTGTATCTTTCTTTTCCACTTTAACTCCTGTTTACCTGTTTTTAAGTACATTTTAATATCTATTATTTATAGGTAAACTCTGACCTTATGTTTCCCCTCTCTTATTTTCACCTCAGCAAACCCTTTTTTTCCCTCCATCTATCAAACGATTTGTCCTAAACTGTTCTTTTCAGACCTTATTCAGTCTCCTTTTGTCTGTTCTTCTTTTCCAACTAGCTCTACTCCTTTCATCCAATTTCAGACATCCTCCGAATTTGGTCAGAATTCGAACATCTTTGGCTGTCCCACTTATATTCACTTGCTTTTTGTTCCTTAGTTTTCTGCTCACATTGCAAGACTGTTCAGCAATTTTCAGATCTCCCACACTTGTGTGCGAGAGTTCCAGTGGCCATTTTGTGGTGGGTAAGTGGCAAGTCATTATGGATTTGTCACTCTAGCTCCAGTATTGTTTTTATTTTCCCCTGTGACTTGATTCTGTACTATTTGTGGTGGTACATTTTTATCAATATATGTGATGTGTCTTGGGAGAGCCCACATTTTACTTACATAATCTGTTTATCCAATTTTCACTTTATTAGTTCTGGGGAGGTTTATTTGTTTTATTTCTACCTATCCAAGCCCCAGAATAATTATACTCTACTATTCATGCCATATTACTCAGTTGTATTGTATTGTTTTTTTTTTTACCCCTTTGATTTACTTTATTAAATATGGACAACATAAATATGTCTGCCCCAAGTTCAGAGCTACAAGTTATTATTAATGTTGCTGTGGCAGCTTCAGTTGAACAAACTCTTGCTGGGATTCTCCTCAATTCCCTACTAGAAATGAGGGTCAGATCCTCCAATGGATTGCAGGAATGCTCCTTCAGATATGTCTCCTGGCTGTGACACTTCCTCCTGGAAGCACGATGGGCTCTAACACAACAATGGGCTAACCCTGTATCACCACACTTATCTAAAGTGCTATTAAAAATAAGAGACAACTACCTAATGGATAAGCTCATGGCAAGGGTTTGCAACACCTGAGCTACCTTTAATAAAGTATGGGCACGGTGGGAGCAGTACAACGAGTGAGCCTCTCACAACAGGGCTATCACAAGACAACACGTACTCACCAGAGCCAGCACGGGTCCAGTTTCTTGGGCACACCCCTTCGCATGCCAAGTTTCATAGGTATGTCATGTTATCTTCGTTAAGTTAATATTTTTTCTATATGCTTTTTCCTTTTCTTTTTGAAAAAAACGCGGTTGATCACAATTTACATGGAACTGGGCTTCTGTGTAAGCCACTTTATACTGAGCATTTGTTGCTCTCTGTCGGAGCAAAAGTAAAGAATTAAAAAAAAGGAGGCTTCTGCTTTTTAAAGGGAGAGCATACATGATTATATAGTAAATAGCTTTGTGACTTACGTGACAAACACAGGATGCTTTAAGGCACTTTGTACCATAAAAGGAATTTACAGAACTAAGCATATTTCAACTGTTATATATAAAAAAAAAAAAAACATGAAGTTACTGAGGACATAAGAAGGGGGGCAAAGGATGACAGCTGCAGTCTTCTCCTCAGAAACCACAGGATGTCACAAGAAAAAGAGATTGTGCGTAAGTGTCAGGCACTAAAACTAGGGTAAAGTTCATCAACATATAAAGCTGACATGATCCAAGTTAGCCAATTTTAAACAGTCTGGACACCCGGTCATCTGTAGCTTGAGCCTTGGGTCAAGGTGCTTTCCTTCACAGAGGTTTCTAACATTGGCTTGCATTTTGGTGCCCACTCCATCAAGGGTGCAGCTGCTTCCTCAGAATGAAGCTTTCCAAAATTTTACTTTCAGCCTACTCCTCATGCCGCTTTTTCTCTCTTACAGGGAGTTAAAATACAATATGAAGCCTCCTGTCATGTGATAAACTTGCAGATTTAGCTATCATGATAAAATAATCTTGATTTTAATAATAATCGGAGGTGAATATTTTCCTACCCAATACTCCCCACCCTTCTTTTATATTATGTAATTGCATATGTGTAACTTTTCTCTTCAGCTCTCCAAACCATATCATTGTTTTATGTTCCTTTTGTCATACTTACGGTTCCTAGTTTTTATGTACTTCTGGTGTACTTTTTTTCTACTTAACATGTGATTTTACTCAAGTGAATGTTTTACTTAGCCTTGTAGTTCATGTGATTGACATAGACTAATGATGTCTGTTTATTTACTTGTCTCTGAGGTCAAATTTATATTAAACCCTTAATGACGAGGGACGGACAAGATCCGTCACAGAGGGGAGACCCTTAACAACAAGTGACGTCTGTCACGCGGTAAAATTAACCCCAGATCGCGGGGTATTAGAGGCAGACCTGGAGCACCCGATCAGGCTGCCCAAGCACCGGTGCTCGCTCTGACAGGCTGTCTGAGCGAGCACATGTGCTCAGTATACTTACCTTCCACCTCCCTGCACTTCCTGGTTCTGTGTGAAGTGCAGGGAGACGGATCAGTGCTGATCCTACCCCCTGTGTAAAAAAAAATAAAGTTAGAATAAAATCCCACCCCCCTTTACCCATTTTAATAAAAAATTAACCCCTTACCTGCCAATTGATCACTGACTTTTTTTTAACCCTCAGGGGTTAAATTTATTTTATTAATTAATTTAAGTATTTTAAAATTATATATTTAGCTAGCTGGGGTGGGTGGACGTTAGTGGGGAACTGGGGGATTTGGTGTTAGGCTAACTAGGGGTTAAAGCTTAGAAAAAAGTTAAATCTGTAAAAAAAAGTTTTAAGAAAGTTTGGGAAAGTTTAAAAAATTAATAAGCAAAACAAAAGTTTAAAAACTAGTTTTAAAAAGTAAAAAAGTTTTAAAAAAGTAAAAAAATACATTTAAAAACGCTCATTACCAGTACACCTTGAACAAACTAGAGAAAAAATGATCCCTCGCTAAGGTTCAAAATATGCCTTTTGAATTACCCCAGTGTGTATTCTTTACTAAATAGAATGTGTTTGTGGGGAAGTTTCAATATCCAACCATCTAAACTACTCCAAATTGGAACATGGACACAGCGTAAAACTTCAAAGTTACAAAAAAACTGAATGGCTGCATCTCAAATGTGCCCCTTCAAAATCCACATATACCTGGAAAAGGTACATACGGGGGTATTGTTGTACTCAGACAACATAGCTGAGCAACATATGAAGTATTATACAGTGGTAGCACACATAAGGTTTGCAAAATATACTGTGCAAACTCACTTTGTGTGTCAAAAATTCAGAAAAAAATGCTTATTACCACTACACTTGGTACAAGCTAGAGGAAAAATGATCCCATGCTAAGGTTCAAAATATGCCTTTTGAAATACCCTGTGATGCCTTCTTTAAGAAATGGTATGACTTTATGGGGTATTTGGATTACATATAAAATACAATATGTGGAGAGACACTTAGTATAATTGCTACCACAATTATGGGTGCTATTCCAAGAAGGTACTCCCTTCAATACCAATATAGTAAATATTCAAAAAGAAAGGAATGCACACCAACTAATACAATAAAGTATATCTATATATATTTTATTACAAATCCAAATCTCACATAAAAAATGTAACAGTGACCAAATAGGCAAAAAAGTTTAACAATATATTTACCAAAATTCCACAAGCCTATATGGGCAGAAACACGAGTCACAAATAATCCCCCAACGTTTCGGCTCCTCCTGGT